ACATGAATTGAGATGCTGCGCATCCAGGCCTAGGGATGCAGAGATGATTACACTCCCAAGTCTAACAGGGCATACAAATTATAAGCACACAAATCATACTCATAAAGTAAGGTTAATACAGATGGTAGAACCTCAACATCTGCATGTGAGGCCAAATATTTTAATCTGTTTTCTGTTGCTATAACAAAATACCTGAGGCCAGACATCTTATAAAGCAGAGATTTATTTAGCTCACAGTTATAGGGGTTAAAAGTCAAAGAGAAGATAACTGTGTGTTTGGGCCTCTGTTAAGGGCCTTGTGGCAGATGTCATCACAATGGCAGGCATGTGTGCAGATCATATGGTGAGACAAAAAGCCAGAGAGAGGATTCAGGGAGCACTTTCAGAGGCTTACTCTTTTTATAACAACTCACTATTGTGGAAACCAACCAGATTACCATGAGGGTGTACCCCTCATTACCTAACGGCCTCCCACTAGGTCTTGTCTCTTAAAGGTTCCACCCTTGGGTGTTGATAAACCATTTAACTCCCAAATATATATATATATCTCAACCCTTGCCCAGATTGAGCTTGATTCCTATATTTGACACTTGGATGTCCCACAGACCCCTCAGACTAAACATTTTCCAAAGCTCAGCATCTTCTAAACTTACCATTCTTCACTCTTTCCAATTCAACATTCAAAATCTTAAAATACCACCCAAGTCAAGAAACATCACCTCCATGTACCATCAATCACTAAGTTTTTTAATCTAAAAGTTCTCACATCTGTCCCCAGCTCTATCCCCATTTGTAGTGCTGCGCTTTAGGCCTTATCATGGCTAGCTTGATTTACTGCAATGGCTTCATAAGTTGGATCCCTGCAGGAGTTCAATCTTTTCTTCCTTAAATTCATCTTCCATACTGTTCCCAGAATAAGCTATCAAAATATAATTCTGCAGTCAATAAAAATGGCAAAAGTTCTTATAACATGTAAAAATGTTCATGATGTATTGCTAAGGGAAAAAAAGGCAGGTTCCAAACCAGTATGTCTACAATGATCCCATATGGGGTTTTTTAAAATGTGCACAAATGCACTGAAAAATGAAATGGAGTACACCAAAATAATCACAGAGGTTACCTTCCAGGGGTAGATTAAGGATGACTGTGTTAGTTAGCAGTCGGCTTTTCATCACTGACCAAAATACCTGACAAAACAACTTCAGAGTAGGAAAGACCTATTCTAGGTCATGATTTTAGAGGCTCAGTCCACGGTCAGCTGGCTCCATTGCTTTGGGCCTGCCTGAGGTGAGGCTGGACACCATGGCCGAAGTGTGTAGCAGAGGGGGGCTGCTCAGCTCAGGCACTCAGGAAGCAAAGAGAGGGGAAGGAAGGAGTCAGAGACAAGATGTAGTCCCTCAGACTCCCCCCAAAGACATACTTCCTGCAACTATGCCCACTTGCCTACAGTTACCATCTAGTAATCCTTTCAAAAGGTTAGAGCCCTTAGGACCCACGCCTAAAAGTCCCACCTCTGGACATTAATTACTGCACTGGAGACCATGTCTTCAACCCATGAAATCTGGGGGACGTTACAGGTCCAAACCATTACAATGGCTTTCAGATTTTTGTTTAATTTTCCAAGATTTCTGCAAGAAGCACAGGCTAATTAGAAAAAAGATAAATCCACAAATCTGACAATGTCAGTTTCTTCCTTAAAATCCAGAATCAGCTCCTCACTGGCAAGATAAAGTCCAAGCATCTTACCAGCCTTTTCTCCCCATCTTACATCACAGAGCAGAGGCTCTCAAACATCATGCATCTCGGTTACCAAGCCCTACCTCCAGAGGTTCTGATTGTCTAAGGTGTGGCCCAAGAATTTGCCTTCCTAATTGGTTCCCTGGAGATGCAGGTGATTTTGGTTTGGGAACACATTCTTTACAATTATTACTGTGGTAAAATGTATATGATGTAAAATTTACCATTTTAACCACTTTTAAGTGTATAATTCAGTGGCATTAAATGCCTTCACAAAATTGTACAAACATCACCATTTTCCACTTTTAGAACTTTTTTTTTTCATTTTCCCTAGCAAAACCTCTGTACACATTAAGCAATCCCCCATTTCTCCCTCTGAGCCCTAGTAAACTCCTATCATATTCTCTGTCTCTATGCATTTGCTTACTCTAGGTAGCTCATAGGAGAGGAATCATACTGTATTGCTCTTTGGGTCTGGCTTATGAATAATGTTCATAAGTTGCTCATAGTTCCTCCATGTTTTTGCATGTGTAGAAATTCCAGGTTGAATAATATTCCCTTTGTCTCTATATACTACATTTTATTTATCCATTCTATCTATCCTTGGACACTTGTGTGGTTTCCACATTGTAACTAATTGTGAGTGACAATGTTATAACCCCCGTGCACATGTGTATTTGGGTCTCTGTTTTCAATTCTTTTGGATATAGACCATCATGGCCGAAGGGTGTAGGGGGGCTGCTCAGCTCATGGCACTCAGGAAGCAAACAGGGGAAGAAAGGAGTCAGAGATAAGATATAGTCCCCCACGGTCCCCACAATGACATACTTCCTTCAACCATGCCAAGTGAAATTGCAAGAGGATGTGGTAATTCAGCTTAACTTTTTGGGAACTACAGCATGATTTTCCATGGTGGCTACATCACTTGACCTTCCCACCAGCAGTGGATCGGGGTTCTAATTTCTTATGTCCTTACTGCCAAGAATGCAGTTCGCTGTCCTTATGGGTGTGAAGTGCTATATTTTCAATTTGCATTTCCTAATGACCTGGGGACACATTCTGAGAATGACTGCTAGAGTAACAGTGAGGATCCACCATCCCCTCAACAGTATTATTCACTACTTAACACTTTCACTCTGCCAATCCCTCTGCCTCGACTCACCCTCAGCTTCCTCTACTAACTTCCTTCCATCCGTTAAGATCCACTTTGAATTTCATCTCCAGAAAACCTTCTGGGAACCTCTAGATTAGGCTAGTAACCTAACAGAATGCCAGAGAAGCTCAGGAGAGTAAGGGATTGGACTAAAGGCAGTGGTTTAGTTGAAAATCTGTACTGAGAGCAATTAAATCCCAAGACCCCCTTCGCTACTGTAAACAGACAGGTGGCAATTATGCAGGATTCCCTTGGAGAGAGCTTGTCACTCCACTGCCAAGAACGAAGTTGGCTAACAGCCTCACCTTGCAATGCCTTCTGGATTCCCCTTGGCAGTTGCTGAGCTCACTGGGCCATGAATGAGCACATCCAGGAGCCTGGCCCTTTCTGCCCAGTGGGGAGATTCTCCTATAAGTGATCTTACTCTGGAGCCCCCTGTTGGGTTAGCTGACATCCTGTCAGATCCGCACCACAGCTTAAGGCTTTCTCTACCAGCCCTCTTCCTCTCCCTTCTCTTTACAGCTGTTAGGTCTGTACTGTACCTCACAATTTCTCCTGCCCATTAAACATTCCCCCCTAAACTTCTTGTGCCCCTCTGTCTCAGTCCCTGCTTTCCAGAGGATCCAAATGACATAGTTGGTTCTGAGAGTGATCCAGCAGGGCAGCTGGTAAGACAGATTTGGAACTGAAACACTTCCTGCCTTGCTGGTCATGAGTACCATCCAGGTTGTGGGGCACGAACAGTCCCTTATGCAAAGCAGTCATCTCATCACTAAACTCCCATGTATGGTGACTAGGGAGGATGTCCTGCCATGCCTGTACAATAATTTGGGATTTTGAAAAGCTCAGGTGAACAAGTCATACAAGGATAATGGCACTGATTTGTCTTTAATATGCTGTACTAGTACCTACAGAAGGGAAAGGAAGGGAAGGAAAGGAAAAACTGAATGTAATTAACAAACAAGTGACAATTAAATGAGTACCTTATCACCTGAGGTAGAGGAAAGACGAAGTCCAAGACCAAACTCAGGACTTAATAGTTAAAAACTTCAGAGTCAAATCTTTAAAGATATCCACCCAGATATTTCTGTGCACAAGTCAGGGTCCTAAGTTTTCACAATCAGTGCCCTGACCTTAACTTGACAGCCTTGCCCCAACTGGCCACTCCGCTGGCCAAGATAGTAAATCAATAACAAAATTATATCTTGGAGATGATGAGGATGAGGTCACCCTTGAGGCTCTCAAGGATGCAGAGGTGGGTCCCCACCACATCTCTATTTAACTCATTTATCTGGTCCCCAATGAAAGTGGGTAGCCTGGAGAGCAACTGCAGACAACTGCCGGCTGAAACAAGCAGCAAATCCCCGGGTGGCTGTGGTGCCCACAGGGCATCTTCTTAGTGAGGATTCATGGTATTCCACCAACGATTTTGTGAATGTGTACATTTCCATCTTGATCACAAAAGATAAGGAGACAGCTGCACTCAGCTTCACCTAAGGGCTGCATGAACTAGTTCTGTTTTCCTGGGAGACTTGAATTTTCTGAACATCCTGTAGAGTGTGACATGGATCTATCACATTGATGGCATCAGGCTGACCAGGCAAGATTAAGAGGAAGAGGAGAGCACACTGGTGGCATTGATAATTCTCTTTCACCCTGATGATGATTCGGAGGCTTGCTATTTCAATAAAGTTTTTAGGAGTCTGATGATCAGGGTGTGCCAGGACATGCCCTCCAAAGTAAAAGTCAAATTGCGGTTTCTGACATCCTCTTCCACAAAGAAGAAAGTGGTGCCCCATAGTCTCTGAGGTTCTAGCAACAATACAATCTACATAGAGGGAAACTGCTCCAGCCCGTATCTCCAGTGACCCAAGGCGACAAGCTTTGAAATCTGTATTCTTGATAATCAGAGGGGTAAACCAGCTTTCTCTCACTTTCTCAGCCCAGTGTCCAGTCAGTTACTTTTCAAATCAACTTACAGTCTTTAGGACAGAGTGATTAAATAATACATAATCAAGTACTTTTAAAATTTCCTCTAGAGCAAAATAAAAATATACATTATTTAAAATGTCTCATTCTACATTAAATATATTAAAATACTGGTAATTTTATAAATAAAATAATTATAAACAGTAAACATGTGATAAAAGTCCTCTGATACAGGTTATATAGGGGTCAACAACTGATTTTGAAAATATAAAAACTTTAAATTCTGTTTTAAAAAAGCATTTTACAAAATTATCCAAAGTTAAAAAGTGCTAGATATGCATTCATCTTGTTCCATTTTTAAAGCACAATATCATACCTTGAAAAAAAAGCTGAATTACAGCATAATACTCATCCTACTTCTCCTATAAATAAAAACTTAAAAGACTTCTATGCACTGGTAAAGGCTGGGAAGCCAACTGAGTTCCAAGCCAGCCAAGGCTGCAATCCACCCAGCGCTGTTCAGGAGATTCTTTCCTGGCCCACCCCTAGATATATCTGTCTATGCCTACTACTTCCTAATTTCCAGAAGATGTTTTCTGAAAGAATTCTGACATTTAAATCCTATGCCAATTGACAATCTTCCAAAGACTGAGGCACTTTGTATTTGAATTTAATACAAAAAGTGATGAATCTAATTCCAAATGAAAAGAGAGCACTTCATTTGGTCACTTGATTTCATACCATTTGTTGAGGTAGGACAATTTTCTTCTTCTCTGAAAAACAATGCCAAGTATATGAATGCTGGCTACACAGGAAAGGGTTCTAGTGCCTTTTCTGCATTCTTCCAGTTGTGAAAATTCTCTCTGTACCACTCAACTGGTAGGAAAAACAAAAGACAAAAATGAAAAATGAAAAACTAAACATCAATTAATCAACAAACAACTGAGTTCCTGCTATGTAAGAAGTTTTGCTCATCAGCTGAGCAACAGACAAAGGCTGTATGTACACTGACATAAGCTGATTTTGAACTTAATGAAGTTAGAAGACATTTTATTGGCTGAAAATATGAGAATTTAAAATCAATCCTTCATTTTCTTTTCTTTTTTTTTTTTCTTTAAAAAGCCCTACAATACTGAACCTGCTGACAACAATTGTTTAAGACATTTTAATTTTAAGGAATTTGAGGTGAGGGGGACAGGTCATTTGTACTGGTTTTACAAGTTATTTTATAAAAAAGTGTACTCTTTGTTCATATAAATATGGTAATACTGCATCAGAGGCAGAGTGAGATCAGTGAGCTTCCTTCTATTAATATATGAAATTATTTCATGCCATACTATCACAAGAAGCATTTTTTAAAGTTAAAAGAAATCTAATAGTTTAAAGTTTTCTTTGATTTTTGCTTTTTAATATTCAATTCAAGTTTGTTACATTTCAATTTTTGTTGTTGTTGTTGTTCTTGTTGTTTTTACTAGGGATTGACCACGGACACTCTCTATCACTGACTTACATTCCCAATCCTTTATATTTTATGTTGAGACAGGGTCTTGCTTAGTTGTCCAGGCTGGCCTTGAACCTGCTATCCTCTTACCTCAGCCTATGGGAACTGGAGTTATAGGTGTGTACCACCATGCCTTGCTATTTGCTATTTTTAAAAAATTTATTTGTTCTTTTTAGTCCATAACAGTACAATGTATTTTAACATATCATACATATATGGAGTATAACTTCCCATTCTTGTGGTTATATATGAAGTGGAGTTACACTGGTCATGTATTTATGTATGAACATAGGATCACATTCTTTTTTTAAAAATTTTTTTAGTTGTAGATGGACATGATACCTTTATTTAATTTATTTTTATGTGGTGCTGAGGATTGAACCCAGGGCTTCACACATGCAAGGCGGGCACTCTACCACTGAGCCACAACCCCAGCCCAGGATCATGTTCTTAATAAAGACTTTTTTCTACATTTGGATAGATCTTTTCTCATGAGTATATTTCTAAATAGACTTTTAACACATACAGATTTTCTATTTATTTTAATAGATTTTTCTGCATATCTGAATTTGTTTTGTATTTGTTTGTTTCAAATATTACTAAGAGAAAGAAAGCTGCAATAATAATCATAAAACATCAGCAATTATAAAACAAATACCTATCACAGATATGAAGAAAGAAAAAATGTGTATTTCAGAATCAATTAAATAGGTATTTGATTAATGATAAGAGAAAGAAAGACTTATAAGTTAATTATGAAATTCAAAATGCTCAGGGAACAGTAGTGTTGTTAGAGAAGTATATTAAATGCTACAATTTGAAGAGTGCATACGATCTATCACGATATTCTGCTGAATTTGTATGGTGTTCTAAAAATGCATCACTTTTCCTTTTAATTTTTCTGAATTGCCCCCCAAATATCCAGTTATGACATACTTGTTTTCTTTATTCCTTCATTCCAAGGCACTTTAGGTTTCCATCCTAATCCATGAATTTTTTCTGACTTCATTGGATACCTCATATCATTGGTAGGTCTTAGAAAAACAAAAGAGATTTAAAATAACACTGTAGCTAAATATTTACAAATTTAAATATTAAGAGAGATAATATGTTTTCATGCATCTTTACCATAATTAAAGTTTAGAATAATTCCCTCTAATGATATGCTTATTGTAGAAAATTTGTTATTAAAAAAACCATAATCCCCAACACTTAACCCTCTCTGTGGTTTAGACTTTTTGTGATTTATTTCAGTCACAATTTAATTCCAGTGCCTAGCACACAGAAGGAACTTATGAAACGTGTGATGAATGAAAAAATAAATGCATACATTTATGTGCCAGGCTCTAATCCAAGTATTTTATATACATAATTAAACCTTAAAATACCATTATAAGTAAGATAATATTATCCCTATTTCACAATGAAGGACACCTCAGACTTGGATAACTTCTTTAAGTCACATAGCTAGTAACAGTGCTGTGCCTAATCTGTGTAACACTTAAAATTAGGAAAAAAATATTTTACCAGAAAATTCAAAACAGATAAACTAGTTCTCAGTTAAGCCCATATAATTTATAATACCTAAGATTTCACAACCTTTTCCCAATGTTTTAACTTGTTACTCACCTATCATTAACATAATCAACCCAATTTTCCATTTCAGACTCTGAATTGGTCTCTTTGATCTGTCAAAATGCAGAAGGCTATTGAGTCAAGTTATAAAATGAGACTAGAGAATAACAATGGTATTTAATAGCTGATTAAAAAGACAAGAAAAACAATTGCCCAAAGTAGGGGAGACAGCAAAAATACTTTTTATACTTTACATATGCTTCCTATACTTCATAACCTAAACTTTACCTGAAGTTCAAAAATAATACACATTGTATAAACCATGGGAGAAAACAAACTTTCCTGACCTTTAGTTATTACTTGGTATTACTTGGTTCCCCTTTCTACTAAACTCTATAATTTATAATTGATATTGCCTCACATATATGTATATTCATAACCATAGTTATTTTACATATCAGTATTCTTTGGTTCTAAGACACAGTCTATATTTACAAAATTGAGGTATCTTACAATTAGGGCAGGTACATTTAATGAATTATCTTTTTTTCAAAAAATGTTACTAAATGAATGCTAGAGCTTCAAGTGAAGACATATATGGGATACCTATAATTATGAATTTCATTTTCCATTTACTCACTTTAAAATTAAATCAACTGTAAACTAAATTAGTGATTAGTTACAGTTGTGTAAACACCACCTTTTTACAAAAGATACGTACCAGTTGTATTAGTTCTTTGGCGAGCTGGACAACTGACATTTCAAAATTGGTTCCAATGTTGTAAATTTCACCTGGTTTTCCCTTTTTGAGGACAGTAAGAAATGCTTCTACTACATCAGTAGCATAAAGGAAATTTCTTGTTTGAAGCCCTGATCCATGAATGCAGCTGAACAGATTAAATGAAGCAGAATCATCAAATGTAAAAATGTAAGCGCTCCTAAACAGGATAAAACACTGGGTACAAGTAAAGAGAAGACAATTCCCACAGAGAGCCTGGAAACCTTTTACTGAAAACACAAAAATATGAATAGCTCTTTAAAAATATTTTTCTAGTAGATGGACACAATGCCTTTATTTTATTTTTAGGTAGTGCCGGGGATCGAACCCAGTGCCTCACATATGCCAGGCAAGCACTCTGCCAACTGAGCCACAATCCAAGCCCAGCTCTTTTAAATTTTAACCTTAGTTCTTCAATGATGTCCAAAGCATCTGAGGTTATTCAATAAAAAATCAGCAAACATGGGCCCATGATAAATATTTGTCAATTTTATACCACAAGTTCATTTTAAAGAAATGTCTACAGTTCTATATAAATTAATCCTTTGAAAAAGTAAAATTATGTAAAGACAGATACCAAGTCTTAATGCTATGGCTCAAAGATCTATAATAAGCCATTTAAAAACAAATTATTTTAGTAAATAATGGAAATGAATTATAGCTTATAATTATTCAAAAAACTACCACACTAAATGAAGAAGGAACTCTTAAATTTGGTGGGACATTCAACTCATGGCCTCCAACTCTAAGACTGATTTTCAAGAGAGACTGTTACCAAATACTATCAACATATCAGAAAAGCATACAGGTACAAAGGTAAACAACATACCATTTTCTGTTGTGTTGCAGTAGAGATATAAATTTTGGAATAACCTAAAAGAATATTTAAGATTCATTTTAAACATCAAATATTTACTCATTAACATGAATCTGAACTCATGATATATTAAAAATCATTATTAGAAAACTATACATATGGAAAAAATTGAATTCTTTTTACCAGGAACTCATGAAAAAAACCTAAATACTCAATAAGTGAGAGAACTCCGAGATAGCTTGCTATTTCACAAAAAGCAGTTCTCTGAAGATAAAATTATTTCAACAGTGGAGGAACTCAGAGAAAGTCTTCATGGACAGTTTTCTGTCATCACAAAGCTCACTTCTGTGTTGATTTCTAAAGAGCAGGAATTGAATCTTATTTATCACTTTACATGTAACCACTCACTCAATAAGTGCTTGTGGGATTTATAAAAAATTACAGTACCCTTGAATTAAAAAAAAAAAAACTTATGTTAAACGTGGCAAGCAAGAAATTACTAAATTTATATTAAACTTATAAGGATACTCCAAAAATTAAGCAATATGAATACGAACACCAGCACACCATGAAATGGCCCTTTTCTTTGGGCAAACAGATCAAAACAACCAGCTTGGAAGTGAGAAAACCCAGACTCCAAATTTAGGCATAGCAGGCAACAGTTACCTAAAAGCAGGCTTACTGACACAGAACCAACTGCACAGGGATTCCCAGCCATCTAGCACATTTCTTTATTCACTACTTATTACTTTCTGGAAGACATTCAGGCACATCACAATCAAAAAGAGTTGGGAGCTGGGCACAGTGGTGCTCACCACTTGTGATCACAGCACTGCCCAGAAGGCTGAGGCAGGATGGCATGTTCAAGGCCAGCCTGGGACAGTTAGTGAGACCCTGTCTCAAAATTAAAAATAAAATGGTCTAGGGATATAGCACAGATGGTAAAGGGGCCTGGGTTCAATACTCAGTTCTGGAAAGAAAAAAAAAAAAAAAGAGCTGGGGCACAGTTAACCCAATGATATAATACAAATTTACCTACAAGCTTCCTGCATCAATAATTAGCTTTCAACTTTCCATACATCCTGACATAATGGGGTGATTGCAAACTGAGAGCCTTAACTGCAGCATGGTGGCTGCAGTGGGAAAATTCTGTAGTACTTCAGAGTCCTAGGAAGTACAGGGTATTTTCATATATATCACCTGAATCCTTCAAAATCCTAAGCATTTTCATTATCCCTCAATTTAAAGACAATGCTCAAAGAGCCTTAGGTCATGGCAGCTGGAGAGCATCAAGTTGATACTTAAATTCAAGTCTTCAAACTCAAGTCTGAGAAGATTTGCATAATTCTATGGCCTGTGCAGAATAATTATGTATAATTATAGCATAAATTTTTTGGACAAAGAAATGATGAGAAGATATTTTAAACAAAGAAAAATTACAATCACTAAAACAACCACCATGAATTCGGAATAAAATTACCTTTTCTGGATATTGATGTGGTCCATAAACATTACTGCTCCTTGTGATGACAACTGGAAACTTAAAGAATATTCAACATTAAGGCAATTATAATAGTGATTATTAGAAAGCTACACAGAATTTTTAAAAAGAAGCACCTTTGCTTAAATAATTTCACATGTCATGAAGACAGAACGAAGAGACTGTTTCTAACGCACAGTTCTTAGAAAGGCAGGAGAGGATGAGGTTCCAATAAGAGCAAAGGGTCCAAAAGGGGGATGAAGACAATTCTCCTCACTGGGACAGGGGAGAATGGGCACAGATGGAGGCGGGTTTGTAATTCTGCCAGCAGAATACTGAGGACTCTTCCATCTGACCATTTCAAGAACCAACTCTAGGACTCTAAGCTTAGCTAGATGGTAACCAAGTTGGCTCTCTCCACTGTATCAACCCTTTAGAGCTACCACAAAAAGGAAGAGGACCAAGGCTACTAAAACATAAAAAGCAAGAGGATCTTGAATGCCTTTCTGATCTAGCCCCTAACAACTCAAAGATCAGTGTGAAGCCAAAGATACAGGCCTCAAGATGATGATCCTACTGGCTAAGGCTCCTACAGCAACACGGTCAGAGCACCAGGGGAAGGTCTATCTCCCATTCATGAGAAACCAAGAGTGCTGAACCAAGCAGAGAAGTATGTGGCAGGGAAGGGAATCTGTCCTCCCTCTCTCTGTCTTCCTCTACTCATGGGCTTCCAACAGGGCCTTCACTATACCTGTAACACTCTACCTATTACTGAAATAGGAAAAAATATGTATTCAAACTATTCCTTTAATAATGAACTGAACAAGAAAAGTTAAGTCATATCTTGGCCACACAATATAAAAATCAATTAATCTTGGGCTGGGGATATAGCTCAGTCGGTTGAGTGCTTGCCTAGCAATGCACAAGGTCCTGGTTTCAATCCCCAGCACCACACACACACACGCACACACACACACACAAATCAATTATCTTACATTCCTTAGTACTACATTTTCTCAAGCTGTCTTCTACCCGATAACTAAAATGCTGCTAGAGTTGAGTTGGAATTTTAACACTTAAGTCCAAAATAAAATGGTACAAGAGTTTCGGCAATCAGTTCTTACCTTGTATCGTTCCCAGTAAGACTGTACAAAACACTCAGCAGCTGCTTTGGATGATGCGTAAGGATTTGTAGGTTGTTTGGGTGATGATTCATCAAATTCCTAATGTTAAAAAGATATATTATGATTTAAGTACTACATACACTTTCTAAGTAGAAAACATATTACAAACTTGAACTTGAATTGTTTACTATAGCATTTTAAAAAAAAACACCGTTTCTTGAACACTGTGTATCTGAATCTTTACATGCACCCACAGTAACTTCTTTAGTGATCACAAAAACCCTGTAAGGCAGGCAGAGAGAAGAACAAGTACAAAAGCTTTAAGACAGAAGAATGTCCAAAGGACCTGCAGGAAAGCTGCTGTTCAGGAAGAGAGATGGGAGATGAGCTCAGAGAGCTGGACGGAGGGCAGAATAGTACCCTGAACCCTGGAAGGTCACTGTGAAAACACTGACAGATTTTGAACAGAATAACGCCATGACCTGATTTCTATTTTAAGAATCATTCTGGCTACTGTGCCAGATCTGAGAGAGAGTGGAAGGGGAATTAGAAGGAAGAAGTTTGATAAAAACTGCAGAGTTGAAAGTGGCTACTTCTCAGAGGACTAGGGATCCACAAGTGGTCAGGGTCTCCTTTTTCTCACTAGAGGTCTTTTTAAACTTTTGACTTTTTTTTTCAGTGTGTGTGTGTGTTTTGGTTTATATATATATATATATATATATATATATATAGAACTCATTATTTTGTCTTATTTTATATACACACACACATATGTGTGTATATATAAAATAAGACAAAATGAGTTCCATATACACACACACACACACACACACACAGTTTTAACCAAAACACACATATGTGTGTGTGTTTGTGTATATAGACAAAATGAGTTCCCTATAAAAACTGACTGTGAAAAACAGAGCTTTCTGCCCATGGATGCCACTAATTAAGCACTATTAAGTCTCTCTTCTCATGAAGCCATGTCTAAGTCACAGTCTCCTAGAGATCACTGGAGGCCTGCACTTTTGAAACAACCTATGGGAGTTGGAGGAGCCATTCTGAACAATGTGGAACACTCAGACTGTGTGGTAATGAGAGATACAAACACCACACACTCCAGGGGCTCTGGGCTTGCCACTTACTCCTCTGTGGAGGAGGTGGGTGCAGCCATGAATGTGAGGCCATACAGAGGAGATGGGGTTGTGGAACCTTAGAAAGCTGTCTCAAGAGAAGATTCTCCAAGGCCAGGAGCCCACATGACTGTGGAAAAGATCTTTGTGGGCAGCATTATAAAAGACACTGAAGAATATGACCTAAGAGATAACTTTGAACAATGTGGGAAAACTGAAGCAACTGAAATCAGGACTAACTGAGGCAATGGCTAGAAAAAGCACTTTGCTTTGATAACCTCTGGCAGCCATGTCTGTGAGTCAGTCTGTCACTGAGAAATACTCCTCTGGGAATGGACACTCTGATGGGAGGAAAGCCCTTTGGAAACAAGATGGCTACTGCTTCATCAAGCCAAGAGGCTGAAGTGGATCTGGAAACTCTGGTGGTGGCCATGGAAATCATTTTCGTGGTAGTTACAACACTGGTCATGGAGGAAAATTCAGTGGTCATGGTGACTTTTATAGTAGCCATGGTGGTGGCAAATATTGTGGTAGTGGGGATATCTATATGGATCTGGTAAAGACAGAAGCAATTCTGGAGGTAATGGGAGCAACAATGATTTTGGCAAATGCAACAATCAATCTTCAAATTTGGGATCTAAGAAGGGAGGAAACTTGGTCATTTTGAAAAAGGTCTTCCAGACACTTTTTAAAAAATATTTTTTATACCTTTATTTTATTTATTTTTATGTGGTAATGAGGATCGCACCTAGTGCCTTGCACGTGCTAGGTGAGCATCCTACTGCTGAGCCACAACCCCAGCCCTCTCCCAGACACTTCTGATCTGGGGACCTGTGGAGTGGCATCAGCCAGCTGTTGTTTCTACTCCTGGCAGGGCTTTGAACTTGCACTGTGATAGAAACATTCAATATTATCACCCATTGTAACAGCCAATACTTTGTCAAACCATAAACCCAAGGTGGCCATGAGGTTCCAGCAGCAGCAGGAGCTGTGGTGGTGACAGAATATTTTTCTGCCTGCCAGAAAACAAAGCTTAGTAGGAGAGGAGAGCCAGAGAAGGGACAGGGAAGCTGCAGGTTACAGCAGATCTGTGAACTCAAGTAAAGCACAGTACTGGCAGGTCCTGGTTACTACAAAGATATGTTTAGATAATTCTCATGTACATGAAAAAAAAAAAAAAAAAACCTGAGAACTCTGTAACAGGTTATTTTAGTTTCTGTTTTATGGAAAATGTGAAGCATTCCAACCCAGGGTTTTAATGTAGCTTTTCTTTTTTGTTGTATCCACGCTGACGGCTAAATGTAAAGAGTGTGTCTTTTAACTGCACTGTATAAAGTTAGTCTACTTTGAAGCCATCTTGGTAAACTTCCCCAACAGTGTGAAGTAAGAATTCCCTCAGGGTGATGCCAGATTTCATTTGAAATTAATTTACAATCTGCTTGGTGGAGAAGTCACTGCCTCTAGAAATCTTGGTGTAGCTGAACTGATAGTAACTGTTGGGACATTCTGCAGTTCACCAGCGTAAGGGTCACCCAAGCAAAATCGGAGAATTATTTGGTGGTAAAAAGGATTGTGGGCACATCCTATGCAATATATCTAAATTAAATAATGGCACTAGATAAGTGACTCATGGGAATGATGTTTTTGTCTCCTCCATTATAATGTATAATCAACAAATAATTTAAGTCTCTTGAATGAAATGACAACATTTGGAACTGGAAGAGATTTGGACTTTCCTTACCCCCTATCCAGATAATGCTGAATCCTTCTATCACAATGCAAGTTCAAAGCTCTGCCAGAGCAGAAACCAGTAGCACTCTGATGACCCCTCACAGGTCTAAAGATTAGAAGCATCATCTGAGAGACCTTTTTTAAAATGACAAGTACTAGTAAAAAATTCAACTAACATAAAAATAGGCTTACCATAAAGGAAAACTACAGTTTTTACTGGGTAAGGTTAGGTGGGTCTTTAGAGGTCTATAGGTCAGCCACAGTAGTTATTTGGAGATTAAAACTATAGAAATATGAGGAACTACATTTTTTCCACATAATTTCATGTTACCTGCATTTTCTTTAAATATAGCACAAGATCACAAAACCATCCTCAAGTGTCAATTGTACAGAGAATGACCTTTAAAAGAGTTAATAACCCTTAACAGTTAATATCCAATAATTGTTACTTGTACATATTCTTTTGAGATTTCCCTTTAGTACCTTCCTAATTTCAGTGCCACTGTATCTAGTAGCATAGATATTTATCTCCCAAAAAAACAAGAGAAAAGAAAAAATATATAAATTGTGAAGAATGGAGTCATCTTTTGGTGCAAAAAAGTATAATATTTAGAAATGATAAAAAATAGATTCCACTTTCTACAATGATTTCACACTTGCCCCTGGATATTCCAATGTGTTTGCCGATTGGCAGAGAATGGTACATAGGAACCTGCTGCAGCCTATCATACTCCTGCTTCGGTCTGTCCACTCTGAAGCCATCTTGGTAAACTTACATGTTTGTGAGGTTGAGACAAAAAATGTTATATTTGCTGCTGTCTTGTAATCTGTCAGGCAAATTATGAATAAATCTATAGGAGACTAGGCTGTTCTCCATTTAGGATGGTATTTGATTTGAACAGAAGAGACCATGGCATAAAATTCTGGAGAGTGAGGATGAGAAGAGGGCAGGACAGGTTTAATAAGACGGATCTGCATCATGGTACATGATAAGTAAACAGGTGTTGTAGATTTTCTAAGGTAAACTTAGAAAAGGTAAATTATTTACCTTATCGAGACTGCCTCCATATACTTCATCTGTGCTGACGTAAATAAACTTCTCCACTCTGGCTTCATGAGCAGCACTTACCAAAACGTGAGTGCCATAAACATTAACGTAGGTAAACTCAAAGGCCCGGACAAATGACAAATCTAAAAGAAGAGAAAAAAACTAGAACAATTTCACCCAAGGACAAAACAAATACCAAACAATCAATTCCAGTTTGTTTGTTTTTTAAATTTTTTTTATTTTAGTTGTAGATGAACACAAACCTTTATTTTACTTATTTATTTTTATGTAATGCTGAGGATGAAACCCAGTGTTTCACACGTGCTAGGCAAGCCCTCTACCACTGAGCTACATCCCCAGTCCCTCAATTCTAGTTTTAAGAGAGTACTATTCCCTTCTCTTTACTCATCATAATTAAATAGTTTTGGAAATAACATATATATGCATTGATATTTATTTCTGTAAGCCTATATTATATAGTATGTATAAATATTTTAGCAGCTAGAAAACAATCTGTTAAATTTTCAAAAAACATTTTATCCTAAAAAGAAGGAAACACAAAATGATGCATCTAAATTTAAAAATTCAAGTATTCAAATTTAAAAAATTTTTGAAACGTCCAGTTTCTACAATTTGAGGGCTGTGCATTTCAGAGCAACTTGTTACTGATAAAAATAATAAATGTTGAATAAAATAATAAATGTTGAATAAATCAATAAATGTTGAATAAATCATCTGCTTTACCAGGGAATGGGGTAACTTCCCTAACTATGACTCACAATTCACATACAATAAAGGAAGAGATTAATAAATTTTACCTTGTAAAAAAATCTTTCATTGTCAACCCTGCCCCCTCCAAAAAAAAAAAAAAACTAGACTAGAAACAAAATAAAAAAGACAAACTGGGAAAAACATTTGAACTTACTAGAGACAAAACATTGATATATTCAACCTATAAATACCTTGTAGAACTAAATAAGAACAATCCTACAGTAAAATGGATACAAAACAGTTTAGATATAAAAATATAAATAGTCCTTAAGCTTATGATGCTCGACCTCATTTATAAGGAAAACCCAAGTTTCAAACTCAGAGAATGCCACTTATAACTTATCACAATGACAAAAAATAAAAAATTTAACAAAATGTTTTGTTACTGAGGCTTTGTGGCGTGTGGGGGACTTAATTCTGCACACTGGGAATGAGTATGCAAAATGCTTATAACCCTAAGGAAGGAAATTTGGCATTTTCTAACCAAATTAATATGCATTTATCCCCCAACCCAAAGATATAAACTGAACTGTTACATAAAATGTATAGTGACACCTGACCTCCCTATACCTGGCCAGTATTTCAGAATGTGAGCATATTTGGAGTTAGGGCCCTTAAAGATGTGATTAAGTTAAAATGAGGCCTTGAAGGTGAACCCCAGTCCAATCTACCTAGTGTAGAGGAATCTGCACCTAAAAAGAGATGCCAGGAATGCACACAGAGGAAAGGTCCTGTGAGCACAGAGTAAATGCAAAGGAGCTGTAAGCCCAGCAGGTGGCCTCAGAGGAAATTAAGCCTGGCAACACCTTGACCTTGGACTACCAGGCCCCAGAATGCAAATAAATTTGTTCTCTAAGCCCTCAGTCTGTGGTACTTTGTTCTGGCAATTCTAGAAGATTAATGCCCCCAGCAATTCAACTTCTAGGCATATCTTCCCAACATCAGTTAAAAATATACAAAAAGAAAGTACAAAACCATCTACTCCAGCATCATTTAAAACAGTGGGAAGTAAACTTAACCACTGTACATATAGACTGATGTCCTAGATATACTGTCAAATAAAAAAGGCAAGAGGGAGAGAGCTGTATGTTCGAGATTATCACTTCTCTAAGAGGGGCACAGGATATCTATTCTTTTAAAAGAAAGAATAAACTAAAATGTATATAAAGTGTTCTACAGGGGAGAGTAGAACACAGAAGAAGAGCAGGGGCCAAAGACAGACTTATAAATATTCCTTATATGGTAGATTTGACTTTGGAACTATTTTATATTTTTCATAACTGAAAAACAATTAAAAAGAAAGTAATTCTAAAACTCAAAAGCAAGATGGAAAATATGAATCAAACAATGAATTTACTTAGTTATATAACCATGCTTTGAGTACCTATAAAACAAAATAATTTGACTGTAGACCTAGTGGGAAACTACTAAGAACAAAACAAAAAAACCCTTGTCATTTCAGATAATGTTGCTATTGTTATTCTTATTTTGTTGTGTTATGGGATTTTAAAAAAATGACAAATGAATGCAGTGTTAAGACAGCTGCACTCCCAGAGACTCTGGAGGCTGAGGCAGGAGGACTGCAAATTGAAGACCAGCTTCAGCAACTTAATGAGATCCTGCTTCAAAATATAAAATAAAAATGGCCTGGGATGTAGCTCAGGGATAAAGCATCCCTAGGTTCAATCCCCAGTACCAAGAAATGGGAAATAGAAAAGAAAATGAGAAATTATTATGGTGCTATTGAGAACCAAGGTATTCAGGATAAGGGAAAGAAAATATAAGACCCATGGGGTTAATAACAACTTTGAGTTAGACACTCATGTATTGTGAACTCATGATGTATTTTATCTTAAATAGGCAAATAAATAAATATTTCTTAGCTCTGAAGTTAACTGAAAAAGCCTAGAAACAATGTCCAATTGGTAACAGTGAACATACCCAGACTGAGGCCTGTAACTACTATTCACACTAAAAGGAACCTCAGTCCTTAGAAGAAGGGTTGCTTCCAGATCCTTGGAAGAACCCTTGAAGATAAACCTAGAACATCCTGCTACACCAGAGAATAAGATGGCAACAAAGACTACTAAGGACCCAGGAAGCAACTCTGGCTCTCTGTGGCTAGTAGTGGGTCAATTTGAATATAAACTGAAATTGATTCAAACAAACAAACAAAGAATCAAAAGTGTTCAACTCTATGAATTCATAATTATACAAAAAAAAAAAAGAAAAGAAAAGAAAAAAGAAAGTAAGAGAGTGGTAGAAAACCAAGTCAAATAGGGCTGGGGATATGGCTCAAGCGGTAGCGCGCCCGCCTGCCATGCGTGCGGCCTGGGTTCGATCCTCAGCACCACATACAGACAAAGATGTTGTGTCTGCCAAATGCTAAAAAATAAATATTAAAAAAAGAATTCTCTCTATCTCTCCCTCTCTCTCATTCTCTCTCACTCTTGAAAAAAAAAATTAAAGTATATAAAAAAAAAAGAAAACCAAGTCAAATAAAGCTTACCACATAAACAAAAGGTATCAAGCAGTTAACCTGGCTTTTCAGTATCACTTAAATCATCCTAATAATTTATGTGGAAAACCTACTTGTATGAAGACATTCCATATATAAGTGAAAAATAAATGACATAATTTGAATATTATCTACAAGCCTCTAAAAATGAATATTGATAAAACAAAATAGTAATACTGACTACACAAAATAGTAGGAATAAATATGTAATGGGATTGAAAAATAAGATAGACTTAAAATTCTAGATAAATACAGTTGGGAATAAATAAATGGTGTTAAAATGCATACCTGGGAGGAGGGCAAAGATTTTATGGACTTTACACTTAAATAAGCTAATTATACATGTGTAATTCCTAAGGTAACCACTTAAAGAATACAAAGAATATATATCTTCCAAAGTAGTAGAGGGAGAAAAAGAGAACAATTTCTTAGTTAAGTCCTTTAAAAAGCAAGCAAGAGAATGAATATCAAGGATGTTCAAAGTAATTAAAATAAAAACCATGATCCAAATACACATTGTTTTTAAGAAACAGATAAGCCATAAAGCCAGAAGGGTTGAAAAAAAAGAGAATGGAAAAAGACGTGATGTATAACTATAATGCACTAATAAAAAAAGATACACAAGAAAGTGATACAGTCACATCAATGTCAAATGAAATGGACTTCAAAATGTATACATCATTTAAGAAAATGACTTCCTAAATAAATGGTTCAGGGGCGGGGGTGTAGCTCAGTGGTAGAGCACCTGCCTCCCATGTGAGGCACTGCGTTCGATCCTCAGCAAAACATAAAAATAAATAAATAAAGATATTGTGTCCATCTACAACTAAAAAAAAAATATTAAAAAAAAAAGATAAATGGTTCAACCACCCAAAATGATTACTAATTCTGGAAACATCTTTTTCGATGAGGAAAAAGATAAACCACAAAATTAAAAACTGGACAAAAGATTTCAACAGCATTTCACAGAAGAAATCCTAATTACCAAAAAACATTAAAAATACTCAAATTTATTAGCAATTAGGGAAAATACAAATTTAAAATATGATAAAAGACAAATCACACATTGCTGAGGTTGGAAATAATGGAAAAATCTGACAAAACTAAATTTTGGTGAGATCTAGAGCAACAGGAAGTTACATATTACTGGAGGAGTAGAAATTAATATACTCTGGAAAACATTTTGATATTTTTATGTTGAAACAGACAAATCTTATGATCCTAATTATGTATCAGAATGTGTACGTATGTGTACCATGACATATGCGTAAGAATGCTCACAGTAGTATTGTTCAAAATTGCCCTAAAGCATAAACAACCCAAATTTCCGCCAGGAGTGAAATATCTAAGTAAACTGTGCCAATTCTTAAATTAGAATGTTATACAGTACTGAAAACGAACAAACTGTACCTATACCCAAATGGATAGATGAATCTAAATGGATTTTTAAAAAGAAAGACAAAAAAAATCTACATACCACCTTATATGTTTTTTAAATAAAATTTAAAAAGCCAAAACTTATAATGCTTAGGGAAAAGAATATAAATAGAAAAACTACAGAGAAAAGCAAAGGAAATAAATCAGACAGCAGGCAATAGCAGTGCACTTCCAAAGAGGATCTGACAACACTCTGATTTTTGTTTGGATGATGGCTACATGGGTGTTCACATTACCATTATTTATTTCACTTCTAAATTCTTTTGAATATATGTTGTATTCACTGTAACAATACCAGAAAATTATTAGAAAATATCTCAAATGCATAAAACAGTACAGATAACAACATAATATTCATCTGTGTATCCACCACCCAATTTAAGAAAAACAACATAAAAATTACAGCTGAAGACCCATTTCCTCATTCCTACCTTTCACAAGTAATCACCAGTTTGAATTTGGTTCGACTCAAAGTTTTAAGATCTATTCAGGGTTATATTTCAACCCACACTAATAAAAGTGATCTAAAAAGTGCCAAATATATCAATGACATAGCAAAAGTCTTGTTTTTCTGGTGTAACATGTATATCCTCTTTCAAAGATGTGTATTAGATAACCATTTATTTAGTTCTACTTCTGGACTCTGGATTTAGTCTAGTTAGCCACAAGAGGAAAACGAAATGCCAGTCACAACTAGAGCATAAGACAATGCTTACCTACATGTGTTTGTGCAGCAAAATGTAGTACTATATCTATTTTCTCTGTTTCAAAAAGCAGTTTCACAAAGTGAGAATCACAAATGTCACCCTATATGAGAAAGCAAACATGAAAACACTAGGTTTCTCTGAGCACTGTCATCATCAAAACCATTTTTGCTATAACACACCCCATCTCCCACTTCCCAGTTCAATAGAGAATATCTTGAACATTCAACCACATGGTCAGACAAGTACAGTAATGATATATTTCTCCAGATATTCGATTCAAAGCATTTTTTGCAAATAAGTATAAAACAATATTTTATTGACCACCCAACTACTTCTACATTTTTTCATTATATTCTTGACAATCTAAGATTAGTATATTAAAAAGGAAAATAGTATTAAAAATTTTGAAAGAACCATTACTGAAATATATCTAAAGCAAGTATAACAACTGGAATGAACATTGGAAAATAATAGTAAAGTTATGGTTTAATTCTTCTGAAAAAACACATTCTCAAAAAACCTTTAGTAACTGAAGAAAATACTTTTACACAGAACAGAATTATGAACTAATTGCTCAATATATTTTTGTGATTTTGTGGTTAAAAGAGAGTTTGTAAAATCACTTTTTTAAAAAAATATTTATTTTTTAGTCATAGTTGGACACAAAATCTTTATTTATTTATTTTATGTGGTACTGAGGATCGAACCCAGGGCCTCGCCCATGTTAGGTGAGCGCTCTACCCTGAGCCACAACCTCAGCCCCTGTAAAATCATTTTTAAAAGAAAAGAACATAAAATCACAACATAGTTTCATTGGAAAGTAACATTTCCCTTTGCAAATAAAGGATCTGCTCTGGTTTATACTTGGGACTTGTTGAAGAGTGGTGAGTTAAGAATCAGCCTTCCAGAGGCCATGTGCCCTCATGGGGAGAGACTATCTCGTGTGCTTCATGGTCTGGCTAGCCTTTCAGGAGGACACCACACTTCACACCAACCACTCTGAATCCCAGGTAGGCACTATTAAACAGACTAGTGAGGACTTAAAATTAAAAACCACACAAATTCATCCAGCTACTCATAGATTTTCTAAGGTATCAAAAATTACATGCAATTTTTTATGTGGTATATCTAAAAGTAGAATTCTCTAGAGCATGTGGTACTTCTGGAAATTAACTATTTGGTCTTTTAAAAGGCCTTTAGTAAGTGTGCCTGCCAAGCCCTTTATACAGAAGCTTGTAAGTAGGAAGCTATTATAATCTCTATATGACTAAAGAGGCACAGTTCAATAATTATAAGAAGACTTCCATACCTTTATGAATTTGTAGTTTTGTTTGTTAGAAATGGTTTCAAGATTCTTTAAGCTTGCACAGTAATCCAGCTTAAAAAAAGAGAGGATGGCCAGGGGCAACACAAAAAGTGATAATATTAGCTCTTCCTATAAAATACCAATTTATTTTTAAAACTATAGATGTTAATGATTGTAATACAAGAACATACTCTCTTCAAGTGTGTTTCCTCTATGCTTTTACACATTCTATGCTTCTGACATACATTGATTGAGGTGCTAGAGAACCAAATCCTAGGCCTTATGCATGATGCATGCTAGGAAAGCACTTTACAACTAATCCCCATCCCAGCTTCTGACATCTTACAAGTAAAAACTAAACAAAAAACAAACAAACAAAAACAAGTAATTGTGATACTTTTTCAAAATACTGGACTCCAAAAAAAAAGCCTTTTTATAAATGTGTACTTTAAAATATGTTCCTACCCAAATTTGCCTGTGGCCACTGGTGTTTAAAAAAGTTTACTACTCCTGACAGAAAAGTTACTAGTCATCAAAAATGATGCCTGTTTTATACATACATGTTCATTATACCTGGTCCTGAGTTCCTGAGTTAACTGTTGGTAAGTCAGTGTACAGATGAGGGAAAAAAGAATTCTTGTTCACTAGTAATGCAGTAAAAAAAAAATCCTAAGAGTTAAGGGTTATTCTTTATCTGTACTTCTTAACTATTGTGTTTTAGGAAATTAAGGTAACCATTTGTATCTGTGCCATTTGTATTTGCTCAGATTAAAAATAATCTATGATTTCCAACTAGGGCTTTCAGATTCTTTAAGGAAACTCCAATTATTACTGCAGAATTCTCAACAAAACCAAATTAATTTAACTAAATTTTATTTTATAAAATAAACATGTACAATTTTCTAGGTGATGATAATTATAAAACTAAATAGTTAAATAATTAAATCAAATAAAGCATGTCAACACCAAGAAAAAACTGGTAGTCACATTTTACTAAATACTGAATTTAGAAAGAGTGAAAGTTTTCTTCTGGTAAAAATACTGCACATAAGGGCTGAGAATGTGGCTCAGTGATAGAGCACTTGCCTAGCATGCATGGGGTTCTTGAGTTTGATCCCAAGAACTTTATGGCTTAGTATAATAAGTAAAAGTTTCCAAAGATTCTGCATAAGATTTAACGCAGCATGAGCACATGACCATGCAGACCCCCAAGTAGCTAAAGACTAAATAAAAAACTAACAGGATTCTGGTACTTTAAAAAAAATGTAGTTAAATTGAACTGTAATTTGAGTGCATGAAGCTTATTTTTATGAAACTCACCTTGTCTAGATTTATGATCATATAATTTGGATAATCTTCTACTAAAGAGACAATCACATGTGATGCTCTGTAAGGAAAAAAAAAAACATCTTGTGAGTGGAAAATTTCAACCCCTTTAGACTCTTGAATATTTTCTTATGCTGTTGACTATTATGAAAATAATCAAAGATAACTTTAAATGTTTTCAAGAAAACAGAAACAACATCAATATACACACATGTACACTTTTCACCAACAACATCTATAAACTAACTCTTATGTTCCCTTTATGCTATGTAGAATAGAGAATTTAGTGTTTCTGGATATAAAGAAAAAAAATCAGTTCAACAAATTATACTGTCCATGCATCTTTTAGAGTGTGAAAGTTAATGCTGGATGAAAAACATAATGGTGCTACTCAGAGTGACTACACTGAAATTATAATGTGCCTGTTCAGGAACTGTAGATGTGATTACATAAAAATTAAATCAATATGAGCAGTCATTTGTCTGTTTTCAGTAACTTCTGCAATTCCTGTGTCTTGGTACAAGAGTTTGGTGTTATAAGCCACAATTCTCAAGGGGGTCCCTGAAAAAAATGTAGGTTTCCCAGGCTAATAACAATTGAAACCAACCTCTGTTTGCCTCTGGGCTTCAGAGGGCCCTGCAGTAGAACCTGAGGCATATTTCAGTGGAAGATCTATCCAATTTTATAACACTTAAAATGCTGGGGCCTCCGGAACAGCGGCAAGCATTGACCAAATTATAAAATCAAGATGTGCACTGGTAGTTCTTTCACAGCATTTTCTAGGTCATACCATTCCTGGACCAGCACTCTCACATGTTCATACTCTTTTCATAAGTGAAATTTGCATGCCTGGTACTCTCTACCAAGTGACCATCAGATTAGAAGGGATGATTAATATGCTAATAGGCAATAAATAAGAATCAATCCCCATATTTCCTCTTCTTCCACTAGACACTGAGTTTCTTGAGGGTAGGAGTTTCCTGTTCGTTATTCTTGCATTCATCCATTCAACAATCACTGAAGACCTTCAGAAAATGGGTCAGATATTCTGCCAAGTGCTTAGTGAACAGTAGTCTCTGTCCTCATGGAGTTTACATTCTAGAATGGGGATGCAGGCAATAATCAAGGAAACACAAATATGCAATAAAATATCAGGCAGGATAAGTATGTTAGTTGGGAAAGGGGTTATTTTAGATAGTGTGGTCAGTCAAGAACTCTTTGAGGAAGTGATATCCAAGTAAAACCAAAATTGAGTGATACAGGCAGCTGAAATGAAGGAGAAGCAAGTGCAAACGCCTCAAGACAAAAGGGGGCACCAGCCTGGTGTGCTCCAAGAATCGTAAGAGGGTAAGCATGCCAGGAATAGAAAAGCAAGAGATCAGGTTGGAAAAGTAAGGCTTGGCCAAATAAGCTTGTAGATATGGTAATAAGTTTTTACTTTAAAGTGGGCAGGAACCATTGGAGTAAAATTCTATGCACTAACATGATCTGACTTAGTGAAACACTGACCTCTGCGTGAGGAACACTCTAAGGGAACAAGAGCCGAAGCAGTAAAAGCAATCAAGAGTAGTCTAGGCAAAAGGTGGGGGGGGGGGAGCGGGTAATGAGGACTAGGGTGGAAGGCGGGGAGTGTAAGAAGTGGTCACATTGAGGACACACTTTGGAATTAGGAGAAAGGACCTGATCAAACATCTAGTGCAGGTCAGCAGCAACCAAGGACTTTTAGAAGTTTGCACAATAAATAAGTCCTATCATAATCCCCAATCATTTTGGAGGCGCCTGTACGTAAAGGCCTGTGCTTCGTGGTGATGGAAGTTGGGGTCAGGCTGGGGGTGCGCATGGGAAGCCGTGGGCGACTGCTTAACTAACTTGTGCACACTTGAGGCAGTGACAGGAGGTCCATCTCAGACAAGGCAGAAGCGGGGACATTACTACAGTACTCTTGCTTCGGGAGGCAGGCGTTTGGTAGAAGTCACAGTTTCAAAAGACCCACGTCCTCACAGGCCAGGGAAAGAGGAAAGGGTAGGATGCTCCCGGGGGTGCATTAGGACCTCCCCCATAGGAGACCCACCCAAAGCTGGGCTCAAATTGCCAACGGCAAGCAGAGTCGCAGGAAAAGGTTGGGGTTTCCGGGGAGAAACTGACAGCGCTGTTACCTACATGAAACCAGCACCCCCGGTCACCAGGACCCGCTTCGCAAAGCTGCCGGGAGCACCCCGGGGTTCCGCCCTGCCCTCCGCCGACATCTCCCAGCGCGGCAGAGCCTAGCACCGTAAAGCGCCGGGGTCTGAAGACCAGAGGAAAGTATCACCGCGACTTTTTGCGACACACCTAGTTCCACTGACACGTTACAGAGAAGTCGGCGCAGCTTCCGGAGAGGCCGCGTAGGGCTACCGCGCAGGCGCAGGTCCTCTGGATCAAAGCCAGACCTACTGCGAGTAATTGAGGGAGTTGGGGCAGAGCAGTGTGTGTAACCGTCTTCCATGCAACTGTTGCTAGCCCGAGTTATGCTTTACTTAAAACAAGGAAGTTCAGAGTGTTGAAGAAGTGCCTTCTTTTAGCTCTTGCACTTCACCCATCTTCAGAGATTACGCACCAGTTAAGCTGAGAACTCCAGAGTTCTCTTTTTGCAATGTGGAAATAGGAGGTTGCAACTGCAAATTTATTTTTTATCGTTATTATTAATAAGATAGATAGGAGACGACTTGCAGTCATGGTAAAGATGTTCCCTAGGCCTTATTCTTAGGTATTATCCTAATATTCTCCCCCTCTTGCTTACTCCACCCCAGCCTGAATGCACTTTCCTCCAATCTGTGCCTAGTTTTTATTTCTTTATTTCTTAGCTCGAATGTCATCCTATTAGAGTCCTTTTCCTGACCACCCCAATTAAAATAGCAAGCTCTATCCTAGCCCTATAGAACCATCTTACTCTGTTTTATTTTATTTATTTTTAAAATTTTGATTTGTTATATATGACACCAGAATGCATTACAACTTATATTACATGTATAGAGCACAATTTTTCATATCTCTGGTTGTACACAAAGTAGAGTCACATCCTTCGGGTCGTCTTATGTGTACTTAGGGTAATGATGACCATGCATTCCACGGTCTTTCCTACCCCTATACACACTCTCTTCCCTTCCCTCCCCTCCCCTTTTCCCTTTTGCCCTATTTAGAGTTCATTTAATCCTCCCACTCCGCCCGCCCCCTCCCACCAGCATACTATGGATCAGCATCCTTAAATCAGAGAAATCATTTGGCATTTGGTTTTTTGGGATTGGTTAATTTCACTTATCATTATCTTCTCCAATGCCATCCATTTACCTGCAAGTGCCATGATTTTATTCTCTTTTATTTCGGAATAATATTCCATTGTGTATATATACCACATTTTCTTTATCCATTCATCTACTGAAGGACATCTAAGTTGGTTCCACAGTTTAGCTATTGTGAATTGTGCTGCTATACCAGTCATCAACACATACTTCCATGAATTGTTCATTGCTTCTTCTCCATGAGGGTAGGGCCTTTTTGTTTACTGTGATAATTCCAAATCTCTAAGACCAGGCCTGACATAAAATAAACAATTAGTAAATATTGTCAAATAGGAAATGTCTTTTTTTCCCCCTACATGGTTTTTTAGCAAAAACAACAACAGCAACAAAAGAGCATTCACTGTCTATGGAAGTGTTATTTGCTACAAACTTTTTGTTTTGAGGGCAAAGTGGTAATATAAATGAAAATCTTAAGTGTACATAGTCTGTGCCCCCCAAATTTCATGATGTATAATATAGATAATTGTTCATTGCTGTATTGTTTAATAAGAAAAAACGGACACAATCTGTAAGATTGCCTAACTTTTTAAATACAGTGGACTGCTACACAGACTTTAAAAAGATATCATGGAATATATGATATAATTGAAAATATTGACCAAAATATATTGAAGTGAATACTTATAGTTTTTTTCTGACCTAAATACCTTGCCCTTTATGATTTCCACGAGTTGATCCACTGCCAAAGGATGGGGATCTGACTCATCTTAGGCCAATTGAAGCCTCTTCCTGGGATGTCAAATTGCACTAAGGTTCTACAATAGTCTGGTTGTTCATGAATTCTGAGGACCTACAAATTTGGGACTTATTAGTGGCCATATTCTTTCAAATGAACTGAGGAACCAGAAAACCTGCCTTCAGAGGGAGAGAAAAAACAAAGCTGATCAAGAAGGGAAGAAAATAAGAGACAAAAAGAGAAGTCCCCCAGGGTTGGGATTGTGGCTCAGCTGTGGAGCACTTGCCTAACACATTCAGGGCCCTGGGTTTGATCCTCATCACCACATGAGGATAAATAAAATAAAGGTGTTGTGTCCGGCTATAACTATATTAAAAGAGAGAGAGAGAGAGATTGAGAGAGAGAGAGAGAGAGAGAGAAAAGTCCCCCAGCATTCAAGGCCCAGGTTCGGCTTCTCCTTTGGCACCAATTGTATCCCTGTCTTTGACTTACAAGTTACACTATTAAAAGACAATTCAGACAAATTTAGCAGCGTATATTTGAACAGAGAATGATTCATGAGTTGGGCAGACTCAGAAGAAAGAAAGGTTCAGAGAGTTTAGCTCTACCCAGCAACATGGGCAGGAAATATTTAAAGACGAAGTTCGCAAAGGAGAAGGAAGTGATATTCAGAAACAGCTTAATTGGTTACATCTCCAATTTTGCCTTATCAGGACTTGATATGACAACACATCAGCCAGATATGGTTGTCTTCTGATCAGTTGGCAGCCTGCGTTTGGCTGAATCCCCCCTGCAATAATTGACTGAGACTCAGTTACTTGTTAGAAGACTATACTTCTGCTTAAGTTGCTGTTCATTTATATACTAAATTAAGTTGCAAGTCTCCATGTATTAACTCAAAGATTGAAGGTAGCTTCAGGTCTAATTTAATTTAATTTAACACCATATTATTTATAACAACTGGTCTAAAAGGATCCACCCTAAACTACTAACAAGGGTAATCTTTGGGTATTGGATATGGGAGGGGAAAGGAGGAAATAGAAACTTTAAGTTTTACTTTAATTTTACCGTGAATTTTTCTAAGCTGCATGAATTTCTTTTATAATAAAAAAAACTAGTGCAGTTTTTAAAATACCCAAATATTAATACCTCCAGTTTATTCCTGGTCAGCCAGAGATACTGAAAATGCTATGTATACCATAGTAGGTATTACCATAGTTTCTTTTCTAAATTGTGAGATGTGTTGTGAGAACTTATTTATACGTTTTTAAAGTGTGTTTTGGAATGAGAATAATTTATATGCACTTATTCATGAAACAATATTTGAGTTCCTACTTTCACTAAGACAGGAATAGTCTCTGACCCACTGGACCTAACAATGTAGTGAGGGATTCAGATAAGTCAAGTCATACACCATATACTGTAGTAAGTTCCCTGATAAGGAAGTGAGGGATTTCAGACCTAGGGACAACTAACACAGAGGCTTCTTAAACTGACAGGGTTGGGAGGTGAGGGGGATATATATAGTAGGTGAGACATAGGGTTGAGTGGTAGGATAAGCAGAATTATTCCAGTCAAAGGGATTTGCAAATGACAAAGGTCTAGAGGGGAGAAATTGAGGTGTTTGTAGACTGACAATGATAAAGATGGAGATCAGTAGAAAGACTAAAATTTGAGTTGACTAGAGAGCCATATTCTAAAGAGTTTGTATTGTGTACTAAAGGCAGCTGAGAGCCTTTGAAGAAAGTGATTCAATCATATTGTTTCCTAGTTTTCTGTGGTTCTAAGGAAGAGGTGGACTGTAGCCTGTTAGAGAAGAGTGGAGGAAGGTCCGCTGCCATAGGCTGCTGCTTCCTACTATCACCAGAAGAGATTTGCAATTGAATTCATGGGATATGAGGGAGTAAAGAGAGCTCCATTTCTCAGCCCTCTGGCATGCTAAGTGATGATATAATTAAAGAGGAAACCTAGGGATGAAAAATCAGTTGGGTGCCAGACTCATGTTTTATACTTTAGACATGTAAGTGTCTTTGAAACATTAAAGTGGACATGCTCAGTAAATTATATAGGCATGGAAGAGAAAAAGAACATGGTTCCAAATATAAGGGAGTTTTCTTTTTTTGACGGGAATGCTCTTGTCGTGTTTTATTAGCAATTTCCTAATCCCATGAGCCGCTCCAAGGTGCCTTCGACCTGCGCAGCGCGCGCATGCGCATTGACAACATGCGCTGGGGCACCGAGGGCAAAAGCTTTCAGTAACCCGAAGCAACATCCTCCAAATTCTCCATTAAAAAAAGGCGGGAACTAGCCAAAAGCCTGGGGAGTGATGGGACGCACGGATCTGCACGCCCTGCCCACTTCTGCCTCTGATTGGTGAATATGCTTGGCTCGTGGCGAAAACCTCACCTCATTGGCTGTTGGTCTCCAGAGGGGCGGGCTCGCTGCCCTGGCCCCACCCATCCTCCGGCTGCCGACGTGGGGCTGACGGCCGCAGGCGGTTAGGGCCCCGGGTGCCCGGGTGCGGGTGCCGAACGGGAGGCGAGGATGGGGGGTTTGCGGCTGCTGGCAGTGGCCCTGACGTGCTGCTGGTGGCCGCAGGGCAGCCAGGGTAAAACCCTGCGGGGCAGCTTCAGCAGCGCCGCGGCCCGAGACACTCAGGGCCAGAGCATCGGCCACTTCGAGTTCCACGGTAGGTCCCGGGGGCGGGGAGAGGGATGGAGGCGCGCGGGCCATCGCTCCAGCAGGGCTCGCAGACCGCTCCTCCCCGCCTCTGGGGGTAGGCCGAGGGCGGGCGGTACCTAGCCCCTCCCTGCCACGTTGGGCCAGCCGGGCGACTTCGCCAGCCTCACCTGCACTTCACCGTCGCCGTGGCCCTGCCCCCTCCGCAACTAGCCGGGATCTCGGCAGGCATTGGCAGCCCCGCAGTTGCTGTCCCAAGCTTGTCTGCAGCCTCCGGCGAATAGAGGTTGTGTTCTGCACCTGAAAGCCCGTGTCCATTTCCTAGCCCTCCCCTTGCAAAAGAATACACAAATGACTGATCTGATCGCTATATCTTTTTGAGATCCTTCCCCTAAAAAAGCATCTTTTGTCCATTCCCGACTGGGCCTGATTACATTCATTTGGGCCTTATTAAGGGTGAATGTAAGCCCAGGAACTTAGATTTCTTTCTTTTTTTTTTTTTTCCTTTATTCTTTGATTTTTAAAGACCAGTGTGGTAAAGCCTCTTGGAGCAGAGGGGTTGTAATCTAATTACCATTACTGCCAGAACAGTTTGGTTACTTGGGTGATTTACTATGGATCTTAAGGCCTAGAGTTAATTCAATGGAAACTTCATAGTGTATAGTGTCCCGGAAATTTCATTATTGATATTCTCTTTGGCCCATCTGAAATCAGAGTTGCCTTTGATTTGTACAGTCTGGTCTCCCTCAAAAATCAGTAATCATCCCTATAATGAGTTGACTCTAATTTTTGTTGCATTTACTTGTACCCTCAAAATTTCAGATATTTTCTTGAAACTCTTTATTTCTCTAGTATTGTTATTTCAAATAATCTGTCCTTGGTGAACTTATGATCTTTGGTCTAAATAACTTTTAGTTGCATTAAAAGATACAACTATGGAGATCAGAATATTGGCCTAAAAAGGATTCTTAGGAAGAAGATAATAGAAATGAAAAGTGGTTTTGGTGTGGGAAAGGAATTTAAAGTCTTGAGAGATTAAAGAATTGGTGATATAAAGGCAGGGAAACCTGATTTTAAAAAATCTATAGTTTTTGAACCTAGCTGAGAAAGGAAAAAATCCAATATGAATATATACCTTTGGTGAATAAAGGAGAAACAGTTTAATTAAATAGTTTTTAATTAAATAGTTTTATTATTATTTTGTCAGATTTTCATTTTTTAACTCACTGTAACAATACTTTGAGTATTAATAGTGATAGTAATATCACTATAATAAATGGCACAACTGAACAGTGCTGAAAAATCTAGAGTGCGTGGATGCTGTACCAGCAGACTTGCAGACTTAGAACAACCTGGTTTTTACCTGGTAAACATGGGAGAGAAACATACTTAAAACAGTCTAAATTTCTTAAGACAGATTGGATATAGGGTGTTCCAAATACATTTTCTCCTTCTAAATGTGTGTGTGTGTGTGTATACATATACACATATAAAAATATGTAATTATATTCTCAAATATATTTTGTTATTACCAATTTTTCATTGAATTACACTTCAGTAAAATGATAATAAAAATATATTGAAAAAACAGCCTATAACTCAGAATGCAATTTAAGGTGTTAGCAGGGCTTTATAGTCAGTTTTATGATTTGACAATTTATAAGGTAACCAATTTATGCAAGAGACTTAGACATTCATTATGTATACTACACACAAATATATATTATAATCAAAATGATATATTGTCAAAATGATAATTCTAATCACAATTTTTTAAAGAAGATTTTAAGGTGAAAAATAGTCTCCTGCTGTACCTCTCGTCACCTAGTGTCCCCATTCTTAGAATCAACTACTTTTTGCCATTTCTGTTCCAGGTCTTCACTGTTGTTATTGTGTGTAACCAGGCTCATTCGATTATTAATGACTTAACATATATTGTTATGAAAGTTTTTTTTTTGTAAAAGTCTGATATGTAAAATTTTGTCTTAGATGTAAAATATATACTTCAAAACACATTTCTTTAATCTTTCTTGCTATTTCCTAGGCTTATTTTTTTACATTAAGAATAAATTGAAATATTAAACCCATGTTAAAAAACAAAAGAAATTTTGGCAGGAAATTTCTATTGATTATGAACAATATAAAAGATGTATAGTGATTGTAAAGTGAGGCAAAAAAATGTTAAAAATTGTTTTTGAAATATGTTTTTAAATATAAAAAATTGTGTTTTTTTTAAGTGAAAGTATTCAATTGTCCTATTATCTCAGTTTCATATAAGCCCAAATGAGTTGATCATTTTTGTTTTAATATTAAGGTGACCATGCTCTTCTGTGTGTCAGAATCAACAACATAGCAGTAGCTATTGGAAAAGAAGCTAAACTCTACCTGTTCCAAGCCCAGGAATGGCTAAAACTGCAGGAAAGCAGTCATGGTTATAGCTGTAGTGAAAAATTATCCAGAGCTCAGTTGACAAGTGAGTATATCCTTTTTTCTTTGACCATTAGATATTGTGTTTTTTTTCCTTATGTTTGAAGTATATAAGATATTTCATGTTTGCCTATATCACACTGTGATAACACTTTGGTACATTTTAAGCTGAATTTTAAGGAAAATAACCTTTTCCTTGTTTAAAATATGTAATGCCTCTCCCTGCCTTTATCATTCAAATTTTTTTTAAAAATCCAGATAATTTATAAAGGAGTCCTTTCATTCAGACTCTTTACTATTCATATAATTTATGTTAATATGACAGATATATTTTTACCCAGTGTCAGCATGGAACCAATGATAGTATTTTTTGAATGCATATTTCTGCCAGCACTGAGATAACACACTAACATGTATGTTAGTTAATTATAAAACTTAGCCCAAGTAATGCCATTTCATGTCATTGACTTAGTCAAATGGTGACAAAATACTTAACTTTGGGAGGTACCAGCACCAAGTCATTGTAAAACCCAGGGTTTGCCTCTAGTGAGGCTTGATTTCCCTTATCCTTATCTAGTGGCTTGAATCCTTGCTCTCATCCATTTTCCTCAAGATTGTGTCGTGGTTGTGGTGATAGCCATCCAGAGCAAGTGAAAGCTTTTATAATTTAGAAATGAAGCACATGTGCCTCCCCTTGGAAGTTAACCGACTGTAGGAGATGAGAAATGTGAATCATCCCTGAGAAAAAGTAGGAATTACCTTCTTCCCTCTTTATCCACCTATTATTCAGAGACTCATCCATATGTAGGGATGTGGTAGATTCTTCTTTTTGTCTAGGCAAGTAAAACACTCCCCTTTCTAAACATCCATTCCTATTAGCCATCTGGTTCCCTCATAAGGCAGCCAGTCAGGATAGGGATAAAAGTAAAGGTCCCCAGACTGCCATCCATTGCGGCAGTGCCGTAGTCCTTTGCCTGTACTGTTGAAATTGCCTCCCACCTGGCCACTCTGTAGCCATGATGGTCCCCCTTCTGTAACCAGAGTGCTCTTTCTAAATAGCAGATTTGAACCACTTTTTGTTTTGGGCACCGCAAAGACTTCTTTCTCTCTCTAGTAAAAATTTATCAGGCTTCCAGGAAGAGGACAAGGAGCCAGTTATGAACCATGTAATACCCTGTATTTAAAGTTGAGGAACATATTATCTTGGAGTTTAGTTGAATTATGTTATTAACCATTTGGGTTTCCCTTATGCTAATAGTTTATTTATTACCTTGTCCATTTGGAATTATTTTGCTTTTTATTATTGATTAGTAAGAATTCTTCATGTATTTTGGACACAAATCTGAATAGATTTTTTTCCCCAGTCTCTGGTTTCTCTTTTAATGTTGTTTATGGTATTTATTTATTGTCTGTCTATACATAATTTTAAATTGGTTAGTTTAAAATATGGTTAAATTTAATTATTTAAAAGCTTTTTATATCTGTTTTAAGTTTTTTTTTTAACCTAAAAATATAAACTAGCTATTAAAGACGTTTTTCTACAATTTTTTTCCTTAAAAACAAAACAAACTTTGTTAGGCAGTTTAAAGCTTTGGGCTATAAGAATACCAATTTATTTTCTTGTTATCACATGGTCAGTATTATGCCATGTATGATATACTCTTAAAAAACATCATTTTCGTGATTCATATTCCTGCATTCCCAGACCTTCTATACACAGGGAGAAAGTATAATGCAATAGGAAATCCACGACACTGGGAATCCCTGCTAGTAACTTATAAAAGGGCTTGTTTTGAGCCTCACTTATGTGTTCTACAAATAAGTTGGACTGTTTCTAGGGTCCTGACCATCCTAAGATGCTGCAACTCTAAAGGTTACTCCAGGATACAGTTATATGTAGGAGTATAACTTAAGGAAGCCTTTTGCTGCTGTGTCTTTTCCTATTTTCTTTTTCTCTATTCTGTGAAGTACAAAAGTATTCTTTGTAATTATGGAACGGAAGATATCGGGAAACAGGAATTTTAGAACAATGAAAATTGTTTTTGTTAATATTTGTGCCTGAAATAAATTAAGTACTTAATATATATTGATATAAATAGATAACAGATTTATAGATTTTATTAATTCTTTTCCCAGTAACAAAATCCAAATATTAAGAAAATCTGTCTTGAACTTTTATATACTACTTGTCATATTTGTAGTATATTATTATATAGGTGCTTGGGTACATTGAAACCAAAGCATATTCTTAAATTTATGACACTGTAATAGTACCACATACTTAAAAATAATCTTTTAGGAAGTGGATTTCCTATCAATAAGACTTTTAGGAATTAATAGCCTTTCACCTATTTGGAATGAACTCATTAATGATGTCCAACTCCTATGTAAAACCTTTCTGCTGCTACTCATTGTGAAGAGACTAGTAGATTTGAAAAATCTCTAGGTACTGAATGTTGCTTGATTCACTCAGATTAATGTTTGAGAAATTATTTTTTCAGTCTTCTTTGTTCTTGAATTTCATAGCACATCAGATTTCTTTCTTTCTTTCTTTTTTTTTCTTTTGTGCGTATGTGTGAATGGTGGTAGGGATCAAATCCAGGGCCTTGTGCATACAAGGCAAGTGCCCTACACTGAGTTGTGTCTCCAGGCCAGATTTTTTTTTTTTTTTTTTAATGACAAGAACTATTTTGGTTTTAAAGCAAGCAAACTGAACACCTACAAGCACAGAAAATGGTGAGTTTTCCTTTCTATCTAAAAGAAATCTAGTGAGATTCAGGATAATTTGCTGTTAGATTATAAGAGCTACATATATTGTATGTAAAACATTTTGATATTTTATTTTTTGTGCGTATTTGGTGTATTAAAATCATTTAAATATATTAGTATTTTATTCTGTGTATTTTGGTTAATAATATTCATTTTCTTTTATAATATGACTAGGCAATTAGCCATTCAGCACCATTCACTGCAATTCAGTTTTTGTTAATATTTGAGGTACTAATTATACCAGCATAGAATATGCATGCTGTGCTTTAGTCTTTTGTCTCACAAACAATAAACATACAGTTTTGTCAAGAGGCTCACTTACCAGGCTTGCTGAAAAGAGACAGACAAAAACTAAAGGCCAGTATCACTTTATGAAGCACATTTTTGTCTCTGTAGATCCATGTAATTTAAAATGAAACACCAAAAAGTATATTGATGAAAATATAATAATGAGTTTTTGTATTGTCTTATCTAAGAGAAAAAGTGCAAGTGATAGAGACACAGCAGAACCTTTATATAATGAGGTCCAGATTATATAATTGCAAGCCTCACATTTAAACAGTCTCATTCCTGAACTATTGATTGACTATATTTTTACTAAAGGTCTTCAAAAATTTAACAGAAACTAAAATCTTAGCTGCATTTTTTTAGCGACTGTATAATTTAAAAAAAGAAGTAATATAAAGTCTGCTAATCTACAATAGCCAAAAAAGCAATGCTGTGTTGTTGTGAATCAAATCCTCTTGTTCATTTTAATTCATAATAGGTAGAATTTCCAGTTGTAAATTCAAGGTCCTTAAAATTTGAATCTTGACTAGGTACATCTGTATCTCATTTATCAAGCCATCCTATACATAACATTTCCTCAATTTTCTATTAGGAAAAATTTCCAGTGTACAGAAAAGTTCAAAGTAAAGTGTGACCAACAATGTAATTTTATGTGTTAAGAATACTCTACTTTGTATAAAATCATATATCTTAATATAGGATTTTTCATGTGTCTCATTTGTCCTCTGAAGAATTCTGAGCTAGATAGGGCAGGTATCTTCCATTATACTGTTGAAGAAGCAAATTTATAAAATGTAATTTATTTGCTGAATTACACAAAGCCAAGGCTTGCTCTGCTAACTCCACTGTTTGGAATGGTGTCTGGAGTCTGAGACACCATTTTCCCACAGCTTCCCCACAGCTTCAAGTAGCATTATTTAATGCCTCTTAGGGCAGAATCACGGTCTTAGATCTGGAAAAGATCATAGACATTATTTTGTACTTCTCAAAAGAGGGTACTGTGGCATTTTAGGGAGGAACAGTTTTTTGCTATGTGACTTTACCTAGCTTACATGAGATTTAGCACAGCTTCCCTCCAAGTTTTTCACAGCTACTATGACAACAAAATTGTCCCCACACATTTCCAAAATGCCCTAAAGGGAAGCAGGATTACCCTGATTTGAGAACTGTGATTAGTATAAAACCTTGTATTAAAGAAAGGAGAAGGAAAATTAATTTGTTGAGCAACTACTTTGACAAATACCATGCCGGGTGACTCATATAAGTTAGTCCTTGCATCAGTTCTTTGCTATAGGTATTATCTTCATTTTACAAATGAAGAAAGTGAGTGTTATTGTATATATACAGATCCGTTTGATGCCAACTTTCATGAGTTTTCCCCCACTATGTCATATTACCTTATATGGACCTGAACCAGTGTAACTTTCATCTTCTGTATTCCTTTTTTTATTGATTTTTTTTTTTAAAATAAATGACAGCAGAATGCATTACAATTCTTATTACACATATACAGCACAATATTTCATATCTCTGGTTGTATACAAAGTATGTTGACACCAATTCATATCTTCATATATGTACTTTGGATGATGATGTCTATTACATTCCACCATCCTTGCTAACCCCCTTCCCCCTCCATTCCTCTCCAACCCCTCTGCCCTATCTAGAGATTGTCTATTTTTCCCATATTCCCCCTCCCTACCCCACTATGAATCAGCTTCCTTATATCAGAGAAAACATTCGGCATTTGTTTTTTTGGAATTGTCTAACTTCACTTAGCATTATATCTCCAATGCCATCCATTTACCTGTAAATGCCATGATTTTATTCTCTTTTATTGCTGAGTAATATTCCATTGTGTATATATGCCACACTTTTTTTTATCCATTCATCTACAGAAGGGCATCTAGGTTGGCTCCACATCTTCTGTATTTCTTTTTTTCTTTTTTTTTTTTTTTTTTTTACTTTTAAGTGCCTTTTGATGTTTTTGTTTGTTTGTTTTGTTTTGATATGGGTGCTAGGAATCAGTCCCAGGGCCCAAGCAAGCACTATCTCATGGAGCTGTACCTTTAGCCCAGTACTGCTTTTAAGAATGACCAGTCAGAAAAATGTTTTGGAAAAATTTTTTGAAAAACTATTTGTCAGTCATAATTTTTAGATATAATAATGATTTTCTTAATTAGTTGAATGCTCCATTTAAAATTTAACTCAAGTAACTTAAAAATGTCAAATGTCACAGCAGTTACTGCACAGCATTGTGAATGTGCTTAGTGACGTGGACTGTTCTCTTAAAAGTGGTTAAAATGATAAAATTGTGTATCTTTTTTTCTTATCACAGTAAATTCAAAGTTTCAGTGAAACCATTTTCATTTGTGGTATTTCAGTATTTTAATAGTGATTTCTTGGTATAAAATGCATCATTTTAATCTGCTTTATACTTTACATACTTTATTCCAGTACTACACCCAGGCCTGAGTTTTTGAGGCAAAAAAAAAGGATTCTAATCCCTAGATTGATTATACAACTAAAACAGTGAGCATATTTAAAAGTTTTGATTTGGCTACACCAATTTGCAGTCCTACCAGCAGCGTATGAGTGTACCTTTTCCCCACATCCTCACCAATTTCTTGGAAAATTGGGAATGGAACCACCATTTGACGCAGCTATCCCTCTCCTCACTCCATACCCAAAGGTCTTAAAAACAGCATGCTACAGGGACACAGCCACATCAATGTTTATAGCAGCACAATTCACAATAGCTAAACTATGGAACCAACCTAGATGTCCTTCAGTAGATGAATGGATAAAAAAAATGTGGCATACACACACACACACACACACACACACACACACACACTGGAATATTACTCAGCAATAAAAGAGAATAAAATCATGGCATTTGCAGGTAAATGGATGGAGTTAGAGAAGATGATACTAAGTAAAGTTAGCCAATCCCAAAAAACCAAATGCCAAATGTTTCCTTTGATATAAGGAGGCTTTTCATAGTGGGATATGGAAAGGGAGCATGGGAGGAATAGAGGATCTCTAGACAGGACAGAGGGGTTGGAGAGGACAGGAAGGGGCATGGGGTTATTAATGATGATGGAATGTGATGATCATTATTATCCAAAGTACATGTATGAAGACACAAAATGGAGTGAATATAATTTATATACATCCAGAGATATGAAAAATTGTGCTGTATATGTGTAATAAGAATTGTAATGCATTCCATTGTCACATATAAATAATTAAAAAAGAGTTTTGCTTTGAAAGGTGTTGTTTTCTTTCTCTTTAAAGTGACAATGAACCAGACTGAACATAATCTGACAGTGTCCCAGATTCCATCTCCACAAACATGGCACGTGTTTTATGCAGACAAGTATACATGCAGAGATGACAAGGAGAATTCTCAGGTGGAAGATATCCCCTTTGAAATGGTGTTACTAAACCCAGACGCTGAAGGAAATCCATTTGACCATTTTAGTGCTAGAGAATCTGGTAAGAATACCTATTTAAATATATCCTAAATACAAAAAAAAAAAAAAAAAAGACATAAAAAACACCTTCATGTTGTGTTTTTAGAATATTAAAAATTTAAAGTCATCTATGTGTTTAGCATTTGGGATATGGCTGAATGAATCTTTTGATAACATTTTGATAGCTATAATATTAAGTTTAAAAGGCAGAACACTGAATTTTATATTGCATGACTTCAAGTGTATTTGAAAATGCAGAGAATGAATTTTTAAAAATCACAAAAATAATAGGTTTCTTATTCTGAATGGTAGAGATGTATAGTGTTTAGTCTGCTGTGTGTGGTCTACCTCTTTTTATTGTTTTATGACATCTTAGAATTATATTTATAAACAAAAATGTTAATAAAGCAATTTAAATTGATATTTCAGCATTTTAGCTTAGAAACTGAATTATTTTCCAAGGCTATCCTTTCGCTAGGTTGTTTGAACAGATATAGGGACTGCCTTTATTGGTACATAGGAATGATCAGAATCTATAATGCTTTCTGGAGTCAAATTTACTTCCATAAAGACACATTTTTACCAAATTTTAGGTGACTGTGCCCGGCCCTATTGAAGTGAGATTCCTAGCTTCAACAAAAATTAAGGGATTCTTGTGATTTCGATAAACCCAGTATGAAGTAGAATAGACTTGTTGGAGTAACATGTCAGAGTTATAAAAGGATTTATGTAGGCCATCTGTCAAAGAAAAGTGATGACTTCATGAGTTATTTGCCCATTTGAAAAAGTCAGTCTACTTAGAGAAGAATTTAATTCCATTGCATCTCATCGGCCATAAAGAGGATGGGTAGAGGGTGGGACAAAAATGAGGCCGTGTTAGACTTAACCAATGTTTAGTTCAAAGTGTAAGTTTGCCACAGCTAGAAAAGCAAGTCAAAGAGCATTGGTAATAGGTCACAAATGAATGTATAAAGAATGAGTATATTATAATATCCATTGGTTTGAAAAAGTTTATAGAGTCAGTGGGATGCTAATGTTTTAAAATAGATAGTTTTAAAAGTTCTTTCTGTGAGGGAAATGAGAGTCTAAGCCACTCAGGTTGTTTTTGAATGCAGATGAACTTAAAGGTCAGATTTTACTAATGATAACCTTAGAACAGTGTGGATCATTATTGAAAGCTAGTCTTGTCATTTGTTTTATCTTTATAAAAGATGTTGACATTTATTTTCCATATTTTGAAAAGGCATTGGTGAAATCCAAATCTGATAGCATTGGTTGACTGATTTGGACTAAATTACTTTTTTTTTTAGAGAGGGAATTTTTTAATATTTATTTTTCAGTTTTCGGTGGACACAACATCTTTATTTTATTTTATGTGATGCTGAGGATCGAACCCAGCACCCCGCGCATGTATGTTACCGCTTGAGCCACATCCCCAGCCCTGGACTAAATTACTTTTAAGATCCCTTTCAACAGCACCATGAAAATGGAAGGGAGATCAGTGGGGTGGGGGTGTGGTTTGAAAGGGACAGGGGAGGGAAGGGAAGGGAAAGGAATAGCAGAATGATGTTGACCAAATTATGCTGTGTGCATGTGTGAATGTACCATGGTAAATTCCACCTTTATGTATATCTATGAAGTACCAATTTATAAGAGCAATAATAGAGATGGGGGAGAACAACGGAGTAGAGGAGGAGATGGACACTGAAATGGAATAAATTATATTCCATGCATGTGTTATGTCAAAATGAACCTCACTATTATGTATAGCTATAATCCACTAATAAAGACACTTTTAAAAAGTTGATAGTTGCTTGGAGTTGAGAGTAGGTATGAGAATTACTGCAAACAGGAACCAAGGGCTTTTGGAAGAAGTGGAAATGTTTTAGAACTGAATTGTGGGCTGGGACTATAGCTCAGTGGGGAACACTTGCCTAGCATATTCAAGGCCCTGAGTTCAATCCCCAGTACTACCAAAAGAAAAAAACTGAATTGTGGTTGTTGCACAACTGTATAACTATACCAAAAATTATCGTATACTAACCTTGAGTGCGTTTTATGATATACATCAGTTATGCCTCCTTAGTAAAGCTGTTTTAAAAAGATATGGGAAAGAAAGATCACTTTACTGTATGATTTCATTATTTCATTTAACACCAATTTTTAGGGCCAGGAAAGGGCTTACTAGGAAGTAATCCTTTATATGCCGGCCCCACTGCCTCTAGTGGAGTCCAGATGCGCTATCCTTTCCCCTCCTGCCTTCTAGGCAGTAGACCTTTGGCTCAAGAGGTTGTCTTATTTATTGTGTGGCTCTCTGGGACTTGAGACTCCAGATATGCTTTTTTCTTGCCTCCTTTTCCAGGCTTCCATTTCTGCTCTCTTCCCTCATTCCAATTTCACATCTGAACTTTGAACCCACACCTTTATGCAATTACATCTCTGCCCTGTGCTGTGTGCTTGGGCCAATGAATGCCACCCACACCCACCTGCCTTGTCCTGAACCTTGCTCATATCTTCTAGTGTTTTCCTTAACATCTGGAGTTATGGCTAGCTTTTTAGGATTTACATTCTGCTTTGCTTCTTAGTTCTGACTCATTCTAACTTTTCTTAATGTTGTCACTGATGTTGGTTTGATGCTCACTCTGATATCTTAAAGTTCTTTCTTATTCTAAAATGTGTAGTTACATTGGTTATGTAGCTGACCAATGTTTAAACAAGGAGCAAAACCTCACTGTAATGTGTATTTTCATTAAGCATGATTCTGTGCAGGACTAACCTTCAGGGATTGATTATTAAAAAGTGCCAAAAGTACCCAAAAGTACTCAACCTTAATTTTTGACTAGTTTAATTCCTAAAGATCATATCATTGTATTGATTAAAATGCTTGCAATTTTTTGTCATTCTAGTCCAAATTGATGGTTTGCAGCCTATTACTGTGTTTATAGCTAGAGAAGCTATTTTTAAAAATCCAGATTGGTTCAGAGCTCTGAAGTTGATTCTGTTTGTTGTCAGGACCACTGACCTAAAAGTCTCTACTCCACATTGTTTTGGTGATGTGTTAGTTTTTTTAAAGTAAAGGCTTAAGAGGGATTCTTTTATTCTCAGGTATTTGTTTTCAGGGAATAATCTCCAATTAGTTCATTTCAGAAACTTGGTCACTTATCTCGTTATCTGCTCCAAGTAAGGAGAATTGATTTGCTATGGCTTTATTTATTAAGAATTGACTATTTCCGTATGTCTGGGAGGTTTGAATTAGAATAACCTGCTGATAATTGCTGCAATTAATGTTACATGTTAATCTGGTTAAATTTTATAATTTGTTTTCTTTCAAAACAATTAGTGTTTTTATATCTAACAGACTTTGGTTAATCCTCTATTCTATATAGTCTAATTTTACAAAATGAACTGAGGCAAGTTTGATGCCACTGGACAGTGTAAATAGGAGCATAATGCTTTAAGGTAGAATCAAATGAAACTGCTTTGTAAAAATATTAAAATCCTTGTTAACTGTATTCGTGTTCTTGTTAGAGACGAAAAGAAGCACCTAGGATGCCAAGAGCGTTATTACCTAAGGCAGATAGACTGGTTTTCATTGGAATATTACAGGCTCTCACATCTGCCATCTCACTGTATTTAATTTTAGCATACATGTTCATGCTTTTCTGTTTTCCTTTTTTTCCTCTCTGTTCCAAAAGATAATGGGTTAGATCTTAATGTTGCACTGGTAACATGTTTTATTAGTAAATGTTTTAAGCTTAAAGTAATAGAAGACCCTAAGGCAAGTGGTATACTTAATTATCTTAAACAAGAAAAGGATCTAAGGCTTTTCCAGAGTGGATTATTTAGTGTCTCTCTGCCTTGGTATCCTCTGTCACCTTTGTCTTTAGGTTGGCTCCCCATAGGTTTAGCTATAGTTGTTCTGGACATCCCATCTAGGTATTGGCAAATTTTGGTATCTCTTCTTAATAGCAAGGGAATCTTTCCCAGAAGCTTCCATCACATTTCATTGGCTAGAACTAGGTCAAATATCTTTGCATTATAAGAGAAATGTTAGTTTCCATACCAGAAAGATGATAAAGGTAAAAAAATCTGTCGAAGGGGCTAGGTTTACCTCCTGCTGGCAAGGGTATTGGAATTTCTGATTGCTGTTGGGGCATAGGAGGGAGGGTACATATTGGGACCAAGACAGGAAGGATGGTGGACAGGCAGGCAGATCTGCTGCAAGTGATGCCCCATGGCTCAAGGATTCTTTCTGCTTTTCTTAACCTCTGCTCTCCCATCATTTAGGTGGGGCTGAAGTTATTGAAGCTCTTCTCTAAGTTTTCTTCCTACTTGATTTTGCCAGTTCTTCATTTGAACTTGCCTTACAACCTATACATTTCCTTATAACCTGTGTCACCACAGTTACATGTTCATTTAAGAATGTGTTTCTTCCTTAGTGAATGTTGTTTTAAGTAGGACAAGTAACACTTTGTATTCATCTGTTTTTAGATTTTAATTTCAGTGTGAACAAACACAGATTGTTTTGGTCTTGTGAAGCTTGGTGGCATAAAAAAAAGTATAATTGGTAACTGAAGAGGAAAAAAATCAGACTTTTGGGGGAGTGATTTGTTTTTTAAAAAAACAGTGCTTTGTAGATATACACTGTGGACATTTATGTATGTACATAGCATATTTTGGTCTGTTTCATTCCAGAGTTCCTCTCTTCCTGCCCTCCTTCACCTCCTTTATCTCCTTCCTCCACTCCACTGATCTCCTTTCCTCTTTTGTGGGACCCCCCCCCCACACCTTTGTTGTTGTTGTTTTTGGTTTTTTTTCCCCTTATTTTGCTCTAGCTTCTGTAAAGTATCAATTTTAAAAACAATAAAATGGAGGGAAGCCCAGTAGGTAGAGGAAGGGGAACAGCAGGAAGGAGGAAGAGAAAAGAGGAAGTGATGGGGACTGAAATGAAGCAAATTATATCCCATGCGTGTGTGATTCTATATATATTATATAGAACTATAACATACTCATTAAAAACATTAAAAATTTTAAAAACAGTGTAGACACAACACACCCTTTTATCTTTAAAGTAGCTCATGGATGGCCTCAAGGAAAGAATCATTTATCTAAAATTTAGTGAACAAAGTATCTTAGTTTGGTTCATTTAATATATTATTTCAGTGAAACAGTTTGCTTTGTTGGCTATAAAATTGGTCCTTTATGAGAGATACATTTAACATTGAATAATCCTCAGGCTTTTTTTGTGTTTTTTTTTTTTTTTTTTTTTTTTTTTTGCTGGTGATAGGTGTCTTATTTTTAAAAGTACCCTCCTCCCACATTATTCTGATTTCTTAGTCTGAGGATTTTCTTTTCATGGTAGATTTGTACCCTAATGGAGCCTGAAACTTTATCCTGTAATAGATATTCTATAAAGTATTATAAATAAAACTTTAAATAGAATGCTTTATTCCTTAATACAAAGAAGGAAAGGTAAAAACTAAGATCTAATACACAGAACAGTATAAGGAATTTTACTGACCCACAGCTGTTATAATATGGTTAGCATTTGTGTTTTGTATTGTTCCAGTCCTACAGTAATCTGAGGATTATGGTCCCATTATTTCTAAAGCTGCAGTGCTTTTCTATGTAAGGAATTTTAAAAGGAAGTATGCCCCTTCTGTTATTTGATCTTCTCTTCCTGAAGTCTAAACATACTTTTTCACCTGCTCTAGAAAGTGACTGTCTTTATATTTATATAGGTAGAGCAGGGGAGACACCCAGTGGAGAAAAACTTCTTGCTGCCTTTTTTTTTTTTCCTCCTAACCATGCCCCTAAAGTGATTGAGATTGAACCATTTGACTTTTTCCCTTTTATTTGTGTCTTCTATATCTTTTCCAAAATTATTTTCCACATAATGTAAAGGTTCCTTTTCTGCTCATTAACTGGAGTTTTCCTCAAGGGAAATTGGAGCAGGCCCAGTGTTCACAATTGGAAGGGGAGTGAGTGTAATTTACATTCTTCATCCACAGATTCTGTGGAGATGGCTCTAATCTCAGCTGCTATCATGACATTCTAATATTAGTTAGAATTTAAAAGCTCTATATTAGGGACTGTCTTGAGTGTAACCAAGTACTATTGGCCCTTTATATCCACAGGTTCTATTTTCATGGGTACCAGATCAAATATATTGTGGAAAAAATTGTACTGAACATATGCAGACTTTTTTCTTGTCAGTATTCACTAAACAATACAGCATAACATCTAGTTAACATGAATTTACATTGTATTGGTATAATAAGTAATCTAGAGATGATTTGGAGTATATAGGAGCATGTGCCTAGCTTTTATTCAAATAAAATACCATTTTATATGAAGGACTCCATATATTTTGGTATCCCAGTGGTATCCTGGAACCAGTCCTCTTTGGTTACTGAGGAATGCCTGTAAATGTAAGCAATAAACCTCAGTACATCTTCTGGCTTATTATAAAAAAAAAAATTCTAAAATTTCTGGAAGAGGAACACTCAGAAAAAGATTCCAAGTAACCCAGAAAAGGTGGTGTTGATCATGAAGTTACGTGAAGACTATGGAGAAGAGCTGCTTTTTGGAACTAGAGGTCGCTATAATGACTGGCATCCTTTTAAATATAGCATCTGCACTTTGTTCTCATCTTTGCCAATTAGCGGTCTTTGCTCATAATTTCTGCTCACTCAAAATTTTATTTCATTGTAGCCTAGTTTGACTCTTCTGGCCTGTCCTAGCATCAAGTCTTTTATGGACTACTTCCCTTTTCATATTTTGTTGTTTGAATTCCCAAAAAATATGACTGACCTATCTTGCCTTTGAGAACAAAGTTATGTTGTTGGCAACTTGAATTGGTGGCCAGTTATTTAGTATCACAATTCCAGTTAATCGTAGAGCAGTCATTTGATCTCCATAGGATTTCCTCTTTAGCAAGAGCTACACAAAGTTTACCTCAGAAAGTGACTTTGGCTATAACAGGTGTTTTAAAGTTTTATCCAAATGGAAATTTAAAGTAATGGAGCACTCCAGAACATGTTATTGGTATCAGAATCACCCTAAGACTTACTAAGACACAAATTAATGAGTTCCACCTTCAGGGATTCTGATTCAGTAGATCTGAAGTGGGGCCTAAGGTATTTCATTTTCAACAAGTTCTCTGGTGATGCTGCTGGCCCAGGGACAACACTTGGAGGAGTATCATCCAGGTATAGCAAACTATTAATGACTAAATAGATCTATTTCTAAACTTCTCACAAAAGAATCCACTTTTAGTGTAAAAAGTATATCTAACTGAATATTGAAATCTTTGTTTTCATTTGCTGTTTTCAAACCAAAGTGTAATTTTATGGTGAATCTTTGGGCTTCCTTAACTGTATTTTTTTTAATAGATTGACTTTAAGTAGTTGGTTTAATCTACTTTTTTATAGTTAAAACTTTGGCCTAAAGTAAAAAATTGGTTTTTAAATAATTTCCCTCTTTATTTTCTCACAAAAATAAGTGCTGTGACTTCAGTTTTAAAAGTCTAGATATATATTGACAGGAAGACTTGAAAGCAGCCCAACACTGCACTGGCTTTGTTTTACTGAAGCAAACTCCCTTTCTTCTCTTCGCAGGGTTACATGAGTTCTTTTTCCTCCTAGTCCTAGTGTACTTTGTGATTGCTTGCATTTATGCTCAATCATTGTGGCAGGCTATTAAGAAAGGAGGACCCATGCACATGATTTTAAAGGTTCTGACAACTGCATTGCTGTTACAAGCTGGTTCAGCTTTAGCTAATTACATTCATTTCTCCAGGTAACTCAAAACCACTAAAACTGTGTTCATCATTACGTCTAATTAATCCTAATTAGTGCACCACAATTATGCTTGCTTTGATTATGAACACTTTTTTTCACATTTGTAATTTACACTAATATGTTCCTTTTCAATTCCTTAGGTATTCCAAGGATGGAATAGGGGTACCTTTTATGGGAAGTTTGGCAGAATGTGAGTATTGTTCTGAGCACTGTTTAATTTTTTTTTTTAAGATAAACTTGCTATCTGCTTGTTCATTTTCCCTTTTTAAAAATTATTTTGTATTGGGGGAAAAAAGCTCAGTGGAAGAGCACATGCCTATCAGGTGTGAGGCCTTGGGTTTAATCCCCAGCATTGCAAAAACCACATAAATATATGTAATTTTTTAACATAGTACAGTTATGCCCAAGGTTGGTTAGAACTCATATTGACTGAAAACAAGGTTACAGATTTAGTTCTCATTAATCCTCCCTAGTTTCTTCTTAATAATATGTGTAACTCTTCATTATTTTGAGAGCATATTTACATATATAGTCTCTGATTTTATCCTCACCAAAAAGTAGATATGCTTATCCCTATTTTGCAGATAAAGAATCTGGACTTAGTGTCATGAAGCATGTTTTCATATGTCAGTCAGCTATTGAGCAGTAGAGGTCTGACCCCAATGCTGAATATTTTTTCCCTATTGTAATTCCATTTTCTGTTGCACCAACTTTTTTTCTGTTTCTGACACTAGGCCATATGTACATCTATAATTGAGCTGATCGCACATCTTTGTTCTTTTATTTATAAGAGAAACTTTTATGAAGTAATTTTTCAATTAAGCATGATAGAAAAAAATATTAAAAGGTCCTGTAATCATGACATTTTAGAGAACTGCAAAGGGACATTAAGTTTTATGCCACTCTTAATATTGGAAAACTATTTAAGATTTGCTCTACAAAACAGATTTTTAATATGAAAACTCATTTTATCTTTGGATTTACTACTAGGATTTACTTTTCTTTATATTTCCACATTTCTCTTCTAGTCTCATTGCTCTTTTAGGGTATTACCACTAATCATCTTTGGACCCACTCATCCAGACTTTGCCACCTGTTTCAAGATTTTGAAACTTGAAAACCCTTTCATTCTCCTTGTGAAGGGGATATGTTCAGTGCACCTCCTGTACACAAGCAGGAGGGGCTTATCCTTTCTGAACATTGTCTAGAGCTCTGCTTCTCCCTTTTGGAAGTCTTTCAAATATTTAATGGAATTGTAGATTGTTAAAGCTGGACAGAACCTTAGAAATAATTCAGCTTATGCATTTTAGATGAAGAAATTGACATTCAAAGGGGCAAAGCACACAGAGCCAATTAGTGGCAAAGCTATTACTAAAATGAAGGACTGATGAATATTTGTGAGTGTCTGCTATATATAGTACAGTGTTAGTCTTGCATTTTTATGGAAGGCTGAGAAACAAAAATTTGTGTGTGTGTGTGTGTGTGTGTGTGTGTGTGTGTGTGTTTAGAATGGCAATAAATTGATGTTGCTGATTTTTGATGCTTCCTACAGCAAAAGGTTTAGTTAGTTAAAGTAATTAAAATTCAAGACAGAATGGAGTTTTTGTGTGATCTGTGTATTTTATATGAAATTAATTACTTTCCAGCAACAGATGAGCTGTCTTCTACCTATCCAGTTATAGTCTCATATCCATCTGTGTATTACTTAGTACATAAAGAAATGAGCCAGAATATTAGGGGGGTTTTCCAGGTATTTGTTTTTGCTACTTAGCAGCTTATGTATTATTTCCTGCTTAATAATAGCTTTCTTTCATATTTTCTATTGCACGGTAAGTACACTGAATGAGTGAATCAATTTCTACATAAGCTACTTAGCAGCTTATGTAGGAATATTCCTTTAGCTTCTTTATGTAATTAAATGAATGTGTATTTGTGAAATGTTTAATAAAATTAATTGATATCACAGTGATTCAAAAATCTATGATGAAAAGAAAGTGTTCTTGATGTGATTTGCCATAACATTTTATATTATTCAAATGTAGTGGCAATTATCAGAATTCACTACCACAGATACATTAGTATAAATGTAGAGTAGCCAGTTTTAATTTAGATGAAAGGGGAAAATCTGTAAAAATATATTTGAAAAGGTGTATTAGAAATAGATTTTTAGCTTGCAGTTTTTAAACATGAGCCTTTATATATACTAGAGCTAGTTTTCTCTGTTTTTATAATATCCTTACATAAAAGAGGTAAAATTTATGAATATCAGAGTTTCTGTGTGGCACTTTGTTAAATTATCATAAATTTATTCCAAAATGCACATCAGAACACACCACTATGAAGAATTGTAGCCCTTAAAAAAATCAATCACTACTAGTTTATATAAATATGAGTTGAACTTGAAGTATTTATAGATTTTGTTTCCCTATACTGCTGAACTGGATACAGGTGATTTTGTTACTGTTTTTTAAAAGTAGCAGGCTTCCCCTGCAGTTCAAGTGATAGCCACCTGGTGGCACATTGCACTAATTCACCAAGCTTTCCATTTGTCTTCAGCACTTTGAAACTAATACTGACATAATTGGATGTCACAGTGGCTATGTACTTTATTGTCATAGTGTTTCTTATTAATAATTTTAGAAAATGCTATTTACAATATAGTTTAGTCATCAAAAAAATTAACAACCCAGAATTAAAGGTATTAATTATTTTTGTACACTGCACAAATTATATTTAAAATTTGATTCTTTTGATCAGGATTATCTATGGTTATGAAAGCTTAGAAAAATGGAAAACATGTATGTCTTTAAGGTTAAACTTAATAGAGATATGATATGGGTATGTGTGTGTGTATATATATATATATACATGTATATGTATGTGTGTGTATATATATATATATGTATACATATATATGGGTATGTGTGTATATATATATATATATATATATATATATATACATTTTAAAGTAGTATTACCACTGTTTTAACTGTTTTTATAAACATTACACATTTTTCGGAAATTTTTGTAATCCTTTAGAATTATCATACATGAATATCTCTTATTGAATTTCCTTAGCGTCTCTTTAAAAAATGCCTGTACCTTTGTGGCTTACAAAATAAAACAAAAGGTAATTTTATCTCAATGCAAAAAGTACCAAATTCTGTGTATTATGAAAACTTGGTTAACTTCAATTTTTATTTCCCTTTAGTTTTTGACATTGCTTCTCAAATTCACATGTTATACCTACTTCTGAGTCTATGCATGGGTTGGACTATAGTCAGAATGAAGAAATCTCAAAGCAGACCTCTCCAGTGGGATTCTACTCCTGCATCCACTGGCATTGCCGTGTTCATTGTCGTAACACAGGTAACTGCTGAGTGCTGAGACCCAGTTTTATGCTTAACAATATTTAGAAATGCCAACGTATTTCAGAATTGAAATTTGGGACCCATGAGGAATTTGTATCATTTTGAAGTATGGATTTAAAGATCAAATAATCTGTTAACCTTCCAGGTGCTAATATATATAGTTTGTGGAATTTAATTGTAACTTACCTGGATTTGAGCATCCTACCAGCTTTTCTAAGTGTAATGTTTCCTACTTAATAATAGCTTTCTTTCATATTTCTTTATTACATGGTAAGTACTGACCATTTAATGAGTGATTCAATGAATTTGAGATTTTATTCCATTGACAAGGATCTTTACAGTTGGTTACTTTATACATAAAAATATTTGAGTAACTATAGGAGATTAATTAAAAGGCACAACATGGAATAAGATAGAATGGGGTCTATTTTTTTGGAAACAAATACAAAAACAGATCTGGTCTTGTATAGAGGACATAAGTTTTGAGGATTTTCAGTAATAGCAAAACATAGGTCCTTTAATTTTTTCCTTTTCCTCTATATTAGTAGCATTGACTGTATTCTAAGATATCTCTATGCCTATGTGCAATGGATTTATAAAAATTAGGAAGAAAGAAAGGTGTGAACAAAAATTTATACTGAGTCTGTGGCCAGCATTAACTACAGATAATAATGAAATATGCATGTGGGCTCTGTAAAGGGCATTATGATGTAGGTTTTAATGCATTAAATAAATTGAAAATTCACTAATCAGTGGTGGAGCCAGTGCTGTATTCATCTTTTCCCATAGTATTAGTAAAGTATAGTAGGTGCTGAGTGACGTAGGAGTATTGAATTTACATGATTGATTTGAGAAAGATTATTTCCTAGTGGGTGATATTTTGAAAGTAGAGAGTACCAGGAAAGGGCCTGTGAATTCAATTAGAAGTGATTAAAATAAAGTAAGACCAACTTAATGTTTTTGATCCAGGATATATGGAGAATATTATTAATTTCTTTTTAAATTCTCATTTCTAAATTCATAGTTCTTTTTAAAACTCAGTTTTCATTAATCATTTTGTTATAATTTTAATTCATTATCATAGACAAATACAAACTGAAAATTAAGATTTTGACCCTACCCTAGAGTTTAAATGGGCATTTAGGAAGAATGCATTAGATAAAGCCCTGATCCTCAGCAGCCAGACAAGGTTGATGAGACAGGCAACCAAAGACTACATAAATACATATATCATACAGATCACATATTGGCATATGTGTATGAAAATAGGGAGTTCAAATTGTAAAAATGTGAAACATGAAAAATAGTAATTCTATAATAATACTTGTGGTGTAAAATGTAAGTTTAGAAATGTGGTTAAGAAATCAGATAGGCATAATTTTATGGAAGGAATAACACTTTCAGTAATAGCAAAATTTAAGCTCCTAAAGAAAATTTTACATGGGCAGGATGACAAAGTCACTTACTAAGAGTACTAGCAGTAATAACATTAGGGTAGAACTGTGAGAATGAGGAAAGGAAGAGGTTGCTGGTAAACCCATAAAATCTAAGAATTGAATTTCATAGTGAGATTTATCTAAACTCTTTGGAAGTCACTAAAGACTCGGTTCTGTGGGCTGAGTTGACAAATAATTGAAGCCCAAAGGTATGTTTGATGCTAAAAATATTACAGTAATTTAAGCAGTTGATGTTTGGTAAGGATGGAGGAAAGATGGACACTGATTTCTACTGAATGGCAGTGAACAGAACAGCATAATGAGAACTTGCTGCGCTTTTCACTGTTGAAATAACAATATGGGAGAAAAGGTCAACAGACAACATAAGGGTGTGTAACAGTGCCCTGGGCACTTACAGTGAGCATGAAAGATGTGTTTTCTTTTAGCTATGAGGTTACCATGAAAAAGTGAAGTCTGAAATCAACAACTCTGACTTGTTAATTCTGGATTACAAAAGATCTTGAGACATTTGAAAGTTACCTTGAGATAATAGACTGTAATGCAGAACAGTTTGATTTTTATTGACAGTACTGAAGTAAGAAGAGGATGGATTTAGAAGAAAGTTTACATTTATTCACTTAACCTTTTCAATATATTTCTATCCTTAGAGATGTCATATCTGAATCAGGATAGCACTAGTTTGTTTTTTTGTTTTGTTTTGTTTTGTTTTTAAAACTGGGTCTCACTTGATAAAAATTCATTTTCTCTGACTTAGTTGTTATCAGAGCAAGGAAAAAACTATGCCTGTACTTTATTATTTAACAGGCTTTATAATCTATTACATCTTTAATCCCTTAGGAATGTTTATATAATGTTAAAGGGAAAGTTTGCAAAAGTTGAAAAAAAAATATTTTAGGGAGGTATCATTTTTTTTCTTCTCTAAATGTAATGTTTAAATTTTTAAAATTTTTTTGCAGAGTATTTTACTACTTTGGGAACAGTTTGAAGATACTAGTCATCACAGCTACCATTCGCACCACAACTTAGCAGGGATTCTCCTAATCATTTTAAGAATTTGCCTAGCATTGTCTTTAGGATGTGGACTCTATCAAATCATCACAGTGGAGAGAAGCACACTCAAAAGAGAGTTCTACATCACATTTGCCAAAGTATGAGCTGGGGTAAAAAGTGATTATTCTGATTATGAATGTTGTTCTGATTTCTGTGGGAAGTTAATAAAATCCACATGCTAACTTCTGTTTACTTATTATGTGTTAGGAACCTACTGTAAGCCCTTTATTTGCATTACTCATTTAATCTTCACAACCATAATGCTGTGGGCATTATCTTCCCAATTTTAGAGAACCTATGTAGTAGTATTTTCCATGTAATCTTTGTCAACTTTGCCTGTATTATAGTTTCTTATATCAATAGGGATTTTGCATTTTCTCTGTGGTAACAGAATATTTTTTAATTTTTTAATGATATTCTAATTTATCATTCTAATTAGAATACGGTTTGCAATTTTTCAACAGTTTATTAATTAGCTGAACTGTTTGTCTCAGAGTTATGCAGTGTTTTATAACACTTGAGGAGCTATCCTGTAACATAAGCAGATGAAGCCAGGTGGCTGAGTATCTATTGTGTTTCAGCTACTTCACCCATATAAAATCATGTCCATTTTATTCCCCCTTTCTTTATTGTTGTATTTTTTGGGTTGTTTATTTGTTTTTTGTTGTGCTGAGTATTGACTTAGGGGCTTTATGCATGCTAGGCAATCACTCTACCAACTGAGCTATATCCCCAGCCCTTTAGTCCCCCTTTGTATATCACTCTTAGGCCTGAGAGATCTTTAAAAATATATATTTTTTGTTTGTTTATTTGTTTGTTTTATTCTCCCTATACCTAGTTAGTCAAAGGAAAGATTGTCAAGAGAAGTGTTGGAGCAGTAACTCACAGAAACCTTCCTTCCATAGAGGTTCTGTTTTTCTGTCAGGTTGCAAAAATCTGTGTCCCTTCATTCCTGTGTGCAGTAGATCCAGCCTGATCCACCAGCATTCTGAGGCATGTATGGCAGAAGAGCCAAATTCCTCCCTATTTCTGGTGTTGAACTTTGCAGAGTACCAAAAGGGCAAGAAATTGCCATTTTGCTTTTGGATTTTTCAGGGGGGAAGGAGTGGATATTGTTTGATAAGTTCATATATATTAGAGATGTTTGGGCCCTTTTTTTGTTCAAAACAGTATTAAATGTTTTTATTTGAACTTAAATAAAAATTATTTTTAGTTTTTAATATAACTTTTTGAATAGGGTCAAAAATCTAAAAGTATTCAAAGAGTAGCAAAAAGTACTTCTTACCTTGCTTCCTTCTATGCAGTTACCACCATCTCCTCATATCATCACTGATAGGAGTTCCTAATTTATCCTCCCAGAGAATTTTATTTATTTCTACATATAGTTTCCTCCATTTTCATTCATGTAAAAGCGTACCAAAAATTTTTTCTACATCTTTTTAATCCTTGAATCTTCGGTGTACCCCACAACAGCTATATATTAACTTACTTGTTTCAAATTTAATTTTTGGAAAAGCGAATATGCTGAAATAGTTCAAGGAAAACCAGAAAAAGATATTTGGAAAGTATAATATAAACAGTTTTCCATTCTTACCTGCCCAGTTCCCCCTCCTCCATATTACCTCCAAATAGGTAACCACTATTAATCAGTTTTTGGTGTGTATTTTTACAAAGTTTCTTTGTGTATCTACATTCACATACGAATGTGCATTTTTATGTTTTTTTACAGAAATATTCTACATTTGTACCTTTTTTACTTTTTCTCAATTATTGTTGCTTATATTAATGTATTTAAGTATTATCAAAATTTGTATATATAACAGATTTACAAATAGAAGGTTATAAATACTCTTTAAAAACACACTTGGTTAGAAACAGTATTAATATGACAGCAACAGTAAATTTTTTCTACATTTTATTGCAAGCTTTATCCTAAAGGCCAGTTGAGGCCAATCAGGAATTCAGTGCTAGTAACAATGTTTTTATCTGGTATATTCTGTAAATAAAGACAAAGCTGTACTTATTGACTTATTATTCATTTGTTTCAGGGTTGTATCCTGTGGTTTTTATGCCATCCTGTTCTTACGTGCATTTCTATCCTTTTCAGTGACTACCAAAGAGATAAGGTAAGTAATATAATCAAACTAGTTGTTTTAAATGAAAATGTAGTCTTTTTTTGAAAAATATTGAGGTAGGAGAGGCCTGTTGATTCAGAAGTTTCTTGAGTTTTTTACAACTGACAAAATATTGAACTTGTGATTGTTTAAAATATAAAATTATTTTTAGAAATTTAGTTTATAAGCAAAATGATGGAAATATCTTTTGTTCTTAATTCAGCCTTCTTCAGAATAATGTTTTATATATTAAATATGTAATATATATATCTCCTCCCACCCCCAGTGCTAGGCGTCGAACCCAGGGCCTTGTGTATGCTGGGCAAGTGTTTTACTTTGAACTACATACCCAGCCACATAGTATAGAATTTATAATACATCTTTGTTAAAAAAAAAGATTAAATTTTTTGCTCCATAATGGTAAAAATCATGATAGATTCATAAAAATCAGTCTAGTTTCTGTAACAGACTACAGTCTGGAGTGCCATGCTCAAGTATGCCGAGTCTTGATTGTGTTGATTCCTCCCCTCCTGGGCGAACTGCTCCATCACTTGATAGTGGAGTTCTGCCAGGAGCCCCTTACAAAGCAGTGCACTATGTGCTTGAATGCACAAATGTTTATTGAGCCTGAGGTATTCACTAGGGTAAATAAGTAGGAAGGTAGTATATAGAAATAGGGAAGTGACTTGAAAATCTCTGAAAGGGCTTTAGAGCACTCTGGCATTTGGTAGTGGCATGCTTAATTCCTATTAGCCAGGAACCTGGTTTTTCCTGTGAGTTACTACTCTTGTCTATACTCTTATGTGCACACCCTTAGGAGAGAATGTTTTAGCAAGTTATTCTTTTGTGTCTTACTTGGCATCTGTAAACTGTTGGAGGGATTTTTCCCTTGAACAATTACAGTTCATAACATAAGTCATATTTTCCTGTTGAAGATTTCTTTGATAAAATGTACATGTGGTAAAAATGAAGGATAGAGTACTGTATATAAAAAGCATATACGTGTTCATGATAAATAGAATATATTTTCTGTTTCTGCTTGCAGTAAAAGCATTCTTTCCTTTCTTTTCAGGTTATTACAATAGGTGTTATCCTTTGCCAGTCTGTTTCCATGGTTATTCTCTACAGACTTTTCCTATCCCACAGTCTATACTGGGAAGTCTCTTCTCTTTCCTCAGTAACACTACCACTGACCATATCATCTGGACACAAAAGTCGCCCTCATTTCTGATACTTGATTTTTGTTGAAAGAAAAAGTGAATTGGTTAAAGGAGTGCAATAAGGATCCAAATACAGTGACTCTTTTTTCATACATTTGGTATGAAAAATTGAACTTTGAAACCAGAGCATGTTATTTATATAACTGCATTTAAGCAGTACCAAAATCAAAAAGGTAATAAGTCAAATGTTTTGAAAGAAACTTAAACAATAAACTTTCAAGAAAGAGTGTTGTTATAAGGTGATTGAAGCAATTTCCATATGGAATAAATGTGAAAAAGAACTATATGATAGTTTGGTAAGATATTCACCACTTATAATGCCTCATATCAATAGGTAACTCAGGTTTGATAGTATTTTAAAAAGTAATCAGTTAAATGATTACTTGCATATACATATCTAAACTAGTCCAGTTATGAAATCAGTGTAATACATTGATTGAAAAAACTGCTTTGTTTTAATGCTTTAAAAAAAATGTATTTCATGTTAGAGTTTAAAGAATTTGAAAATGAGATTACTTCAGGAAATGAATATAAAATATATTCAGCTACCTAAATAAGATTTTGTTTACTTGTGGGTGGGTTTATTTGCCAATTTTTTTCATTTTTGGCTCTAGTTCAGGTTTAGCTTGATTAGCAAAGGATTTTTGACAAATTTATGAAAAATAAAACCTAGACACTTTACATGGGTTTTAAGGACAAAGGATTTTAAAATTTGAGCACTTAGGTAAAGGGACAAAAAGGTTTATGTGTCTGAAAAGAAAAAAGGAAAAGGTACTATGTGATATGGTACTAAAATTTTAATCCTGATATAATTCATTTCTCTTACATTGAATCCTCAATCATAATTAAGCCATATACCCAGATTAAATTAACAGAAGCATTTCACATAAATGTTGGTTTCAGTCATCAACTACCCATGAATTCCTGCCCAAGGATACTTAATCAGGATTAAATTTTCTATGAATAATTGAAAAACAAAATACTCACTGGGTTTGTTATAATCCGTGTTGGCACTGGATTCTAAGTAGTTGCCATCTTGAATCCTTTGTAATAAAGCCATATTTGTGTTTTGGTGTGTGTGTGTGTGTGTGTGTGTGTGTGTGTGTGTGTGAGAAAGAAAGATGCCCTTCTGTTGAGTACACTAGTTTAAAAATACTCCATCAAGTGCCTGATTAAAGAATTGCTAGATGGTTGTCACTGCCTGCTGTATAAAGTGAATATTCCCATTCATAGTAACTGACTGGAAATAATTCTGTTGCTGTTTGTCAAGTTGTTCAGGCCTTTTTATTTTTATTTCTGGTTATTTAAAAATATTTTTATCTGCTTATTACATTTTTAAACAAGAAATGGTGCAATGATCTGATAATTAAACTTATAAATTAGTTAAAATGATGTAGCTCAACTTAAGATTATCTATGGCTTTGTCTGTGTTTATCCCTGGCACATAGTCTCACTGGAAATGAATAGTATTCTACTTTATTCTAAAGGCAAAATATTTTTGTGTGTGACTAGCAAAATGGCACAGTAACAAAGTTCAACCCATCTATTAAATCATCTCCCTAATAGTTCTGTGTCTATCATTTAATAAATGAGTGCTGCAGGTTAAGACTAGAAAGTCTGAAGAATGTTTTAGGTTTACAGGATCTGCTGAGTGGTCATAACTTTTTCTTTTATCATATCACTAATAACAACCAGTTAATGTCTGCTATGTTCAACTGAGTCACAGTTAATTAATCTAAAAGAGTGAGAGAAATTTTTTCATACAATTTGTGAAATTGCAACAATGGGAAAGGAATAATTATTTGTATTATTTTATATAAAGAACACAGTAACTATAATCAACATATGTGAAATGTATTACTATACTTGCATTTATTTAACTTCAAAAGTTTTTGTTTATTTTTTTTAAGTGTAGCTGAAATTGCAGATAATTTATTTTGTTATTCAAAAACCATTGTTAAAAGAAGGAAAACAGTTTTTAATAAATATATAAAACTGTCCTTGGTTAGTAATCAGGGACAAAATTTATAGTTTGTAAGTCATGACACAGCATCTCTTTTTCTTTCTGAATGTTTACATGGAGATTCTTCACTACAGATTACAGGAAGATAAGCATATAGTGCAATCTCTAATGAAATATAAAAACTTCTCTTCCTCTGTCAGATAATTCTTTTTTATCCACTTTTACAATTTTTCTTGGGATAAATGTTCTGCCACTCCTGCCCCTTTTGGGAAGCAATTTTTTTTTTCTTTGGGAAGAAAAAATTCTTTCCTTATTGACATGCATAATAGTAAGAATGCCTGCATCAGGCACTTAACCCTCATTATCACTAAGCCCTATTGCAATACCCAAGCTCCCAATGAACTGAGTAGGAGACTGTTTCCTCTAAGGTCATCCATCCATTGAGTTTTTCTACTCTACCCTCACGATTTAATGAGCATGTATTCAGTGTGTATGGTTTTAGTGAGAATGAATGGTTATCCATATTAATTTTACTCTTGGTTTGAACATTAAATCCAGAATTATGCTGAAATCTGAAATGAAAAGAACTCAGTACTTCAGAATTTGAACCTGGCTTTCAGCCAGACTGTATTGCTAGCAGGGAGAATTAATCCAGGCAGAAGAGCTTGAGGGAAATTTTTCATAATCTCAAGTAAAGTTAAGCCAATTCTCATGAAGGTAGAAGTGATACAAGTCTAAGGTCACCTCCAATAAGACTAGAATCTGTATATCAGCATGAACATGAACCCCTTCTCTCCCTTGGGAGACTGCACATTCTCTGGAAATTTTTTAGAAACCTGAAATTACTTGTAAAACCCACTCTTTTACATAGCTTCTGTGGTGTCAAATCATTGAGGATTTTGTTTTTGTTTTGAGAATTGTCATGCTCATTAGAAACATCCAGTTGGTTAGAGGTCAGATCGGAAGGGTTAGTGCCATTTTGTCTTCCAGCATGGATTTCTGAATTGAGACAATAAAGGATTGATTTTCCTATGAGGTCTGGACACCAGTGTGGAAGCCCTATAGCTTGAACTTTTGTAGTGGCTTGTGAGTAACATTCCTGCCTCCACACCTGGGCAGCCTTCTGCTAGCTCCAAAAGCTTTGTGCACACTGGGCTGCAGGAATGCAGTGAGGCCTGGAGGTGTGGGAAGACGGCCCTGCCACTGTGGGCATTCTCCACTGTGCAGCCAAAATACCCTCTTAAAGACAAATCAGCCATACAATGGGCATCCAGGAATTCTTTGTGCTAATCTTACGACTTTTTTTAAATTTGAAATTATTTCAAAATAAAACATTGAAAAAATGTTTAAATCAGATCCAACTACTACAGCCCTGATAACTCGATTTGCCTCTCATTGTACTTAGAAAAAAGAAGTCCCCATGTATTACCATGTTTTCTGCAAGTCCCCATAGGGTCTAGTTAATCCCTACCTCTATATGTGATTTTATTAATTTGTATCACTCTCCCTTCCACCATACCTCAACCTCATTGTTCTTCATCTAAAAGTACCCCGCTTATGTCCCTAAATTGGCACTAGCCATTTCTTCTGCCTAGAATATTCTCTTCCAAATCGTGGTTGCATGACCAAATCCTCATCCTTCAAATTCTCTGTACAAATGCCTTTTCAGACACCTCAACCATCTGTGGTAGATTTGATGGTGCCAATTAAGTTCCCCAGAGTTTTTGTCCCTATGTAACTCTAAGACAATACAGCCCACAAAAAACAATTGATAGAGGAGATTTAGAAGGTGGAAGTAAAGCAGCAGTCAGGTCCAGACTCTCTGTAATTAGAAGGTCCAAGCAAGGCACTAGAGACTGTTGCAGCTTACCCCACATTGTTGACTCATCTTCTTGGCCTATGGGACAATAGCAAGGAACACAGCTTCCTGCTGGATCATCCCCTTAAGCCTGTGATTCCTGGGCCAAGTGTGTATATTACTCTGTGACAGACAGTATTAGTTTTTGCAAAACAACACCGTGCTTAACGTTGGACAACTGAAGGAAGTGAGATTGGTGTGAGTTCCAGTCCATTCTTATAAGTTCCGTTTAGTCCCCATGGGTTTTATTCTTCCTAGAAAGTTCCTGGATTCTTCCATTTTATATCATCTTTCATACCCAAGTGCCAGAAAAAGAGAAACAGCTTTCCTAAAATCCATGTAATTGCTTTGTTTTAAATATTAAAGGTATGTGTTACATTCTAACGGTTCTCCTAATCAGATCCTGAAAACACCATCCTATCTAATGCTGCTCTCCCATTCTAATTATTCTCATATTATCCTTTTTTTTTTCTTTGTTGTCTCTTTCCAATTAGAATATAAATTCTAAGGGAGTTTGCCCATTGTTTTGTCCATCTCTGTATGCCTAACACCTAGAACATCCCCTGGTACACACCAGGTACTCATTTGAATGAATGAATGAAAACAATCCTGAAGTTCTAGATGTACTTATAATGTGGCATTAGTTAAATAATAAGAATGTCCATAGTGACTTTAGTAATATTCTACCTGTTCTCCATTAAATCATGGAACTTAGAAGTGTGTAAGTCTGGAATAGTCAAGTAGTTATAAAGACTCAACTGTAAAACTCTCCAGTTATAAGAGGATGACACAGGTTGTCACGAGGGAGTTTCCATTTTTCTGTAATACTCCATGGACCATTATGGCTGTTTTTTTTTGCCCATCACAACTAGAAGCACTAATTTAAAAGAAAAGTTTTTGAGTCATCTAGAGGAAAGAATGTTGACAGAAGTTGGAGGTCGCTGGAAGAAGACAGAAAACTAAAAATGACAATACCATCACAGCAACCTGGGGTCATTTAGTTTGAGTGAAAACAGCCCTGTGTATCCCAATAGACTCTTAGACCATTTACACAGAACTCCATTAAATTGTATATATTATACATTTGTATCAGTTCTCTCTTACTGGACTTTGGTGTTTTTAGTCTTCTATTATCAATAAGGCTGAATTTAAGACTATGTAATCAAGAATTTTCCTAGCCTTCCTCCAATCTAGTTCCCAGGTCTAATTTCTTGGAATTTTCTAAGTTATTGAATGTCTTTGTGATTCACGGTGGGTCCTGACAGTTTTTACTAGTAAGATGACACAGGATGAGGGTTACCCACACCAGAAATACTAACCATCTGATTAGAGGTTTGGGGCGTTGAGTCACATGATTACAACCCAACCTCTAGGAAGCAGGGAGAGACTGGAGATTGAATTGAACCTTATGGTCAGTGATTCAATGAATCCTGCCTACATAATTGCCGCAGTCTGGCTGGGCACAAAATAACCGAGCCACCACACAGCCTTGTAGGTTCAAAACAGGATGCCACACAGGCAGCCTTCTCCCGGGACACACCCACACCAACCGGAAATCCCTCCTCCAGAAATCCCTCCTCTGGCACTTCCCCAACCAATGGGAACTGTCCGGGAATCCTGTGAGAACTCCAAAGTAGCAGGCTGAGGAGGACAGCAGGGGTCTAATATACAATTGAATACACAGCTTAACATAACCATTATCATCTCAATGGCTTGCTGGTCACCTCTCAACCACTGGGTTCTGGCAAAAATGCCATGCGTCATTCTGACTCGGCTATGGCTCTGAGCACATAATGGAATCCCAATATAGACAACAATTCAACTCAGGTGAGTTTCTCAGGTTGGTTGGCAATACTTGCGTAGTCATACATCAATGTTCTAGGAAGGTAACATGCCTCTGAAGACACAAAAACTTTGTGTTTGGATCCTCCAGACCTCACCCTATGCACATCTTCTTTCAGTTATTTTGATTTGTATTCTTTTGCTATAATAAACTATAATTGCACATATAGCCTTTTCCTGAGTTCTGTTGATAGGTAACAGACGTAAGCAATGGGAACATGGGGTCAAGGGGATAATTCCATAAACTGGGCCTCCTGTGCGGACCCCCACATACTTTCTTTTTAAAAGCAATTTACCTGCAGCCTGATTTAAGTCAATAGAATATTTTACATTCATTCCTTAGCAAACAACCTGTTTTCTGCAAGAGAAATGCAGGCCCAAAAGTTCCTGTCATGTAATAAGAACACAAATTACCCTGAAGTGGGGGACTTTTGTGACCCCTGGAAAGACTAGATTCCAGAACTCTGGGAAGTAGCAGCAAAGCCCTGTAAGGATAAAAACTATAGGAACAAATTCTAATCTATAGGAACACATCAATGTGGGCCGAAGTGACCCAGAGTTGCCTTCAGATCTTTAGCATATCATTATAATAGTAAAATTTCTTCTCCACCTGGAAAGACTAGGTGTAGTGGGGACTTGGAAGTCTGATGCAAGTTTGCTCTCAGCCAAAATTCAAGAGGTGGACTTGGCTGGGACTCTCTGGAAACTTCCCGGGGACCCCTAATACAACTGGAGGGCAGGTATACCACCCCTCTCTTAGTGCCAGCTCCTTTTCCCCTTTTTCCTATGCCTTCTAAAAAACTCACATCTGCTACCACATATGATGGTCTAAAAACGTCCTGGTATGATCACAAGAACTAATGAGAGGACATCCGTGGTCACTTAAGGGCCATAGATACTCTTGCATTATAACACTGCCTTTTATTCTAGTGAATATTCGAACTTGAGGGGGTTGTGGGAATTTCAAACATGTGGCCAATTGGTCAGAAGTGAGGATGGCCCTAGAATGCCCAGTTTCTGAAGTGAGGACAGTCCTATGGAGGATTAAACTGATATTTGCTTTAACTTCAGATAGTTGGTGTTAGATAGAAACCATTGCAAGTATCCTTGTGCAATATTAGATGCCAGTATGACAAATAATAATATTTCATTATAGTTCTTGGCATTATTATTATTTTTTATTTGTTTTTATGTGGTGCTGAGAATTGGACCCAGGACCTCAC